TAACTTCCTATTACTAAACTCCTAAAATAGATTTGTTTGAAAATGTACCCCTTACAATGGCCAGTCAGTCATTGCCCACTCTCACCTCTTCTGTTTCACTTTATAATAAACTCTACCTTCCTTCTCCACCATGTTTCCTGTCTCTCTGAATTCTTAATGGAGATCACGGGACTGGGGAGTGTAAGGAGTAGGTTTTTCCTCCCACTGCTGGTCTTGTCCCACTGCCACGCCAGCCCCAGTTAACACACCGAGACTCTGTATTTGATATAATGCTGTTGGCCAGTTGTTTCTTATCAGCTAGCTCTGTCTTAAGTATTAACCCATTTCTGTTAATCTAATATTTCCACGTGCTTTCATCTTACTGGGGAATGGGGCCTGCATCTGGTCTCCCCAACCTCTCCATGTTGACTCCTCCTTACTGCTTCCTCTTTCCTCCTTGTCTCCTAGTCCCTCCTATCTTCCTTTTCCTATTGGCCAACAGTACTTTATTCATTAGCCGGTATGAGAAACATATTTACAGAATGACATCTCCCATCAGGGGAGCTGAGGAGAGGCCTGAGGGCCTCTGATCAGGCAGCTTGTTTTGTTTACCTCTTCATTTTATAAACAGAATGGCAGAGTTGGTGATGCCTGTCATGGGGGATGCCAGTGAGCAGGGGTAAGAACTGAATCTTTGGTAAAGAACTGTGCTTTATTCAGAGAGTCAGCAATCTGGGGGGATGGAAGATTAAAATTCCTTCCACATCTGCTTTCCCCTTTTCATCTGCAACCAGAACCTTCTGTAGGAATGGAAGAGAGAGAAAAAAATTCCAAAGTTGAGTGTTTTCTGTATGGTGAGTGGTGATCTTTGCCTCTGAGTCAAGGGCTTAGTTTCCTTCACATTTCCCTTGTTATTGCTACTGTGCAATGGGATTTTCACACTTTAAGGCCACTGAGTCTCACCTTCCGAGGCATTCCAAACTGTTAAAGGTATACATGCAGATTCTACAAATGTTCCCTTATAGAGAATACAAAAGTGTCACTATTGCTCCCTCCTGTCCTTTACTCTTGTATCGTTTTCCCATTGGCTATTGCCTGAGAATAGTAATATGGAGTGGAACTGGCAGCCCAAGAAAGTCTCTCTGTGTGCTGAATGCAGCAGGGCAGACAGACTGGGGCTACCCAAGCAAGCCTTTTGGAACTCTGTTGATTATATGAATTCCCAACTGCAAGGCTTAGGGTGTAGAATTTGTTGGTCTTGTATTTTGGCTTTACTTTGGTTTAATTGTTTTTTTCATAGCCTCAGTTGTTCCCATTTTGGAATAGAAATATTTACTCTGTGACATTCTATGTTTGAAGTGTGCATCTTTTGATGTAGCATAATTAAGAGACTTTGGACTTTTAAGGTTATACTGACTGTTATACTATAAAGCAATCATGAACCTTTGAAGACAAGGGTTAAAAGGTTATGGCTTAAAGATGTTTTGTTGTCAAGTTGACAAGGAATGGAATTATGGTTAGTGTTACTAATTTGACAGAATCCAGAATAACCTAGAAGATGGGCCTCTGAGCCATGTTTATGGATCATTTTCACCATCACATGACAAGAGCTTTGGACTCTATAAAATAAAGTGAAGTTGGCAGTAGCTGGGTTTCTTCTTGGTGATTATGAATACAAAGTTACCAGATGTTTTGAGCTGTGGAGCTCCCACTGTCTTGACTTCCCTTGCACAGTGGATTGTGTCATGTGCTGTGGAAGAAAATAACCCCCCACCCCAAGTTGTTTGTGTCAGAGTGTTTTATTATAGCATCAGGAACAGAGACTCAGATGCTGGTGAACGAACCATGTCTCTGTTTTTATGTAAGTACTGTATGGGTGTCTTACTTTTCAAATGCTGTGACAAAACACCATGACCAACAACTTAGAAAAAGGAGGTATTTAATTTGGGAGTTAGAACCCATGACTATTATGTTGAAGAGTATGATAGGCAGGCAAGCATGGAGCTTGAGCTATAGTTGAGATCTCACATATCTATCTACAGGCAGGAGACAGAGAAAGCTAACTGGGAAAGATTCTTGAAATCTCACAGCCCACCCCAGTGAAACAACTCATCTAACAAGGCTACACCTCGTTACATTTCCTAAATGGTTCCACCAGCTGGGAACCAAGCATTCAAACCACCACAATGCTGACTGCAGGAGAGCTTTGAAAACTTGGCCTCATATGGGAGAAAGAAGTGACAGGGGCTATAATTTCTGTTCTTTTAAATCAGAAAACAAAAAGTCTTCCCAGAATCTTTGTTCATTTCTGCTTGAAGTCTTGTTGGCTGGCATGCATCACCTGGATGTGCCAGCTGCAGAGGGTGCTGGACATGTCATCTTTCCAGTGTCATTTGGAGAGAAGACAAAGACAGTGGTGCCTGCACAAGCCTCATGAAACACCCCTTCTATTTTTCTCTGCCCCTGCCTCCAACTTTGTAAACAAATCAAGATTAGTAGTTGACATAAAATAGTGGCAGTAACTAAGTGTTATTTCTTCTCTGCACTCATCTGTATGGCTTAGATTGTTCTAGCCTTGTTAGACCTGTATTTTGACAGCAGAACCAGTTCTGTAAGGTTACTTTAGTACCTGCCTTCCTGCTTCACGAGAAATACCATCCTGGCTAATGTGGGAGCATGACTAGGAGTCTCCACATCCTATGTTTTTTGTTTGTTTGTTTGTTTTTTTCTTGCAGGAGTATCAGTGTGGTCTGAATGAGAATAGTTTTCATGGCCTCATATATTTGAATGCTTGGGTCTCAGTTGGTAGAACTGTTTGGGAAGGATCAGGAGATGTGTCCTTATTTGAGGAGGTGTATCACTGAAGGCAGGTTTGAGATTTCAAAAGCTCACACCGTCACCAGTTAGCTTGTTAGCCCTGCCTCATGTTGTCTCATCATGTAAGTTCTAGGCTAATGTTCAAACGCCATGCCTTCCTGCATGCTGTCACACTCTCTATCATGATAGTCATGGATTCTAACCCTGTCAAGCTGTAAGCCCCTTCTACAAGTTGCCTTGGTCATGGTGTCTTATCACTGCAATAGAAAAGTCCGACAAATGTCCAGAAACTCCATTAACATTTGTCTATGTCTTTGTCTTCTGCTTTACAAATTGAAGACATGAAAAAGTTAATAGATTTAAGCTTTCCTTCATGCCCATAAGCTGGAGACACTGGGCAGTAGACACAATGTGAGATGTGAGTAATTTTCTTCCTTTTAGGGTCATGATGTTCTATGTGCTTTGTAGTTATTCTGCCACATCTCCATTTGTGATCTTCCTCAAACATTTCAGTGGCTCTCGTAGGCCAGGCTAGCCAAGAATGGCCTTGAACTTGTGATTATCCTGTCTTTACCTTCCAAGTCCTAGCATGGCATGTACTACCAAGTCACGTTTATGTAGCACTGATGACCAAACAGGGATACACTGCAAAACACTCTGCTGATAAACTTTATCTCCCTAATCCTCAAACATTCTAGTAGTACAATAATATTTTTTCTTTGTTTTGTTCTTTTTTGTTTTGTTTTGTTTTTTTCTATGCATAAGTGTACTATGTACTCTTAAATGGACATCTTGCTAAAACATGTCCTACTTCCCCTTAATTTCACTCATTATAGGAAATGGGCCTAGGGAAATTTGCCATTAATACCTGAAAAGCGTTTTTACTCCTATTAGGAAAATGAGGTCATAAGATGTCTTTGAACACTGCTGCTTCAGTGTAGACAAAGAATAAGCTAATAATCATAATTGTCTTATTTTTGTATGCAATATGTCTATTTGTAGTGTGTGTGCATTTGGAGGCCATAGGTTAGCCTCAGGTCACATTATTTTTTGAGACAGGATCTGTCACTTGCTCTGGAATTTACCAATCAGACTAGGCTGGCTGACCAGCAAGCTCCAAGAAGTCTTGTCTCTGCTTCTGCAGTGCTGAGCTTATAAATGTGCAGCCACCATAGCCAGCTTTTTACATGGATTTGGAGCCTGAACTCAGGTCAAGGAAGGAAAACAGAAAGTCCACTAGTGCAGAGATGCTCTTTCCCCACTTCATGCCCACTGTGTTACGAGCTGTTCTACTCTACAATACCTTTCTCATGATGCTGGGCTGAAGCCTCTTAGTTTGTGAACCAAAGAAGGCCCTCCTTTTAGTTTTCCGCAGTAATTTGTTGTAGTAACAAAAAGTCTAATGCATAAAACTTAAGAGAGAAGGGTTTATCATAGCTCACATTTTTCTAGTTTTGGGTCTGTGTTCACTTGGCCCCATCACTGTGGTCCTGTAGCAAGGTAGAGAGAGCATCATGACAGGATAGCAGAGCACCGCTACTCTCTGGGAGGCAGTGGGAGAGATAAGTGGGAATCTAGGCAAGCGGTGCTTTTGACAGACATGTGCCCAGTGTTCTACTGCTGCCTCTAATGAGGTTTTACCTCCTAATAGCTTATTCAGTGTAAATTCATCAGATGATTAGCCCTGTGATGAAGTTAGTGTCCTCAAAATCAGTCTTCAGTAATCGGATCTACCATGCTGAATACCAAGGCTTCAGCATCAGTCTTTTGGAGGACACTTAATAAACTATGATGTTATAATAGGAGTAAGTAGTAACAATAGAGAAATGCCCTTCAAATGTCTAGGTCCCTAGTATGTGACAACTAATAACAAATAGGGTAGACTAGATTGTGATGTGATAGCAGAGTACTCAACAATCTCAATAACTTAGCACAGTTATGTAGATCTGCTGTTCAGTATGTTTCATGTCATTGTCACTCTGGGACCCTGGCCCATGGAGCAAATCTATCTGGGATGTTGATTATCTCATGAAGGAGGTGGGGGTGGGGAGATGGTGAATGAGAAGTTGGATTTTAAAGCTTCTCTTCATATCTGAGCAAACAAAGCCATATCCATTCCCTGGTAAATAAGGAAAAAAGAGCCTGTGACTGTTTCCAACAGTGGGAGAACCTCCTATGCTAATATTGTAACCATGTGACCTTAGATGCATATGGAATCTACAGTGTGCAGACCAGTCCTGTCTCCAACTCATATCAACGCCACAGCGTCTGAAACATTCACAATACTTCAGCAGAAGATGAGAATTGTTGAGGAACAGACCAGTTCTCTGAGAGATGACCTAATAATGCTGGGCTATGGTGACAAACGGTAACAGACAAATTAACTCGATAGCTTCAGTTTGAAGAATTTAAATTTGATGCTTAGTAAAAAGCAGATGTACATACTTTTGGAAAATTTTTCCATATGAACTTTGAAGCAAACATGTTTTTTAGATAGAGTTGCTATTCTATGATAGAGGTGTGATTTTTAACATTTTCTGTTGTTGTGATAAAATACCTTACAGAAGAAATGGCTTATTTGGTGCTTACTGTCCTTGGGGCTATGGGTCCATGATAGTGGGCTAGAGTTAGATAGGAAGCAAAGGCAGCTGGAGCAGCAACTGGGAGCTCACTTCCTGAACAACAACCAGGAAACAGAAAAGATAGTGGGGATGGCAGGAGCCTTTTGAAATCTCAAAGTCTACCCTCAGTAACCTACTTCTCTAACAAGTCCACACTCTAACCCTCCCCAGACAGGACTGTCAGCTGGGGATGCAGTACTCAAATGCCTGAGACTTGTGGGCAAATCTCATTCAGAGCACACCAGATGTTAGTGGACTCTTTGTTGCTATGACAGAATGCCCTTTAAGACATCCTAAGGGAGGAAGGGTTCACTTTTGGCTCACCTCTTCAGAATTTAAATTCTTGGTGCTTGGCCCTATCACTGTGGGCCTGAGCTGAGGCAAAGTGTCATAGAAGAGAAGACTTAGAGGAGCAGACCTAGTGCCTCATAGCAGCTGGAAAGTGGGAGATACAGATTTCCTTCAGTAGTCCCCAGCTCCTGATGGTGTCTTCAGTGTGAACTCATCTATGTTAACTCTCAGTTCTGTTACTTTTGAATAGTTGGATCCACCAGCTGGGTACCTATGTCTTAGACATTTGAGCCCATGGGGGAGCACCTTATATACAAACCATAATAGACAGCCACAAACACTATTTTAGATCTTATTTGGAAATTAGTTTAAAGAAAAACTGAAATGATTTGTGCCATTAAGTTGGTCTTCATTTTTTGTATCATATTTATTATAAATTAAAAGACACATTTAAAATCCTTAACCTGTTTCCATGCTTTAGAATGAGAAACTATTGCAGAACTGTTTTTCCCCTGTATTGCTAAAGAATTTTTTGTTGTTGTTTTAAAGTTAGCTTGTTAATGGTAAGGGATATACATGTTTATGCAGCCAATACAGAATTTATTGGTGTGATTTGTTTTAGAAAGATCATATGTATTTTCTGAGTGTCTCACATTACCACATAATAGTAGAATAGTTGCTATTGTAGGGCCCATAAATTACTTTTATCATTTAAAGATTAAATTTATTATAAATGCTGAATATTTTAATAAAACAGGAAATTTCATTATTTTTATTTAACTATTTTTTAAAAATATGAATATATTGCTTCTATGCTAACTTTAATTCCTGTTACCATTATAAAATTAATATTTTACCATGTTTTATGTATTACATGTTTTATGTTGATTTATATAGAAAGTCTTTTTTTTACTTCAAATTAAAATAAACAACCAAATAATATATTAAATAAATAAAAAAAACAACCAAAGGTATGGAAAAATGGCTCAGTGTAAACTGCTTGCTTAGGACCTGAGTTCAGATCCCCAGCATCCACACCCACATTCCCCATCCCATCCCCCACATCCCCTTAGAGCTGGGCATTTCAGTGCTTGTAATCCTAGTGCTGCAGTGGTGGAGAGAAGAGGAAAACTGACCAGTGAGGCTAGCCTAATTGGAGTTACAATTTCAGTGAGAGACCCTATCTCAAAAAAATAAGGTAGAGATTGAGGAAGTCACCCAGTGTCAACCCTCAACCCCTGGCCTGTGCACACATGACATGCATGGCCAGTGCCCCTCCATGCCTGCATGAATGCTATTGCTTTTTGTGGGGATGCTGGGATCCAAACTCAGGATATGGGTGTGGGTGTGGGGAACTGGGGATCTGAACTCAGGACATAGATTTTTCTGCTTACAAGGCAGCACTGGGCTGAGCCACCTCTCCAGAACCCTCTTTATTGTCTTCTAATCATGGTTTAATTCCTTCTCTGATTCGCTGCCTTTTGTTTTTGTTGTTTCCTAATTGCTCTGCTAGGGCTTCTTCAACTCTGCTGGATACTGGTGGTAAAATTAGATATCCTAGTCTTTACTCCATACCTTAGAGGGAAGCCTTCAACTTTTTACAATTGTAGTATTAACTTTGAACCTGTCATTTATGACCTTTACTGTGTTGAGGAACACTCCTCCTATGTGTAGTTTGATGGCAGCTGTTTAATGAAAGGGTGTTGGATTTGTCAATGTTTATTGAAACAGTCATATGGTTTTGTTTGTTAGTGCTTTGCAATAGGTAAGAAAAAGGGCAGGCCATCTAGCTGCAGCTAGATTTCATGTTCTGATTCCTCCACCCTCCGGGTGAAACAGAGAGCAGACATATATTACCTATTGTCTGCACTAACTTGCAAGAGCATCTTTGTCTAATGTTTCTGCTCTCATTTACACTGCACCTCCAATCCTAGGAAATAGCTGTTGGAAATGGGTTCGTGTACCCACCTCTTTATTTTTGGTGGTCTAGGGACATTCAGAAATGTAGAATCTCAAGGCCAGATCTAGGTGGTTAAAGATGTATTTCTTTGTGCAGAATCTATAGAAGTGCGGACACTCAGCCTTAGAATCATTTTAGAAAGGATCTGTAGACCTGTAGTTGTCACAACAGTGAGACTGGGCAATGCTCAGGACATGCTATGCTTCCTTCAGGCAATTGGAGTTCCATAATTTATTTGCTTTGTTACTTCCTGATTTAGTTAGGGTTTCTGTTGTTGTGAAGAGACACCATGACCATGACAACTCTTATAGAAGAAAACATTAATTGGTACTGGCTTACAATTTCAGAAGTTCAGTCCCATTATCATCATGGCTGAAAAACAAAGCAGCATGCAGGCAGACATGATGCTGGAGAAGGAGCTTAGAGTTCTACACCTTGATCTGCAGGCAGCAGGGAGTGAACTGACTCCCACACTGGGTGTAGCTTGAGCATTTGAGCCCTCACTGACACACTGACACACTTCCTCCAACAAGGCCACTCTGACTCCAACAAGGCCACCTTTCCTAACAGTGCCACTCTCTGTGGCATGAAAAATAAAAGACCCGGAGACTGATATTGAGGTTCAAGCTTCAAGCTGACTATCAGAAAAGCAAAGCAGCTGACCACCAGCATCTTACCTCTACCTCAGGCTGATTGGGCTCTTCTCTTCCTGCCTCCGCAAGCTCTCACCAAGTTTCATATTGTAACCTTTCCTCCTTGTGGCTGGAGAATGAATTTCTCTCCGAGACCTTGCTTCTGTCTTATATACTCCCCTAATATTGGGATTAAAGGTGTGAGCTATAATTCTCTTTTAGATTGATTCACTTTTGTGTAGATCTGGGTGGCCTTGGACTCACAGAGATCCATCTATCTCTTAATACTGAGTCCTAGGATTAAATGTGTGTACCACCATCTCCTAGCTTCTGGCTGCTGGAATTAAATGTGTACACCTGGCTTCTATGGCTTGAGGTGACTTTGCTTTTCTGAATCCTCAGTCAAGCTTTAATACATTATGAGTAATATATCACTACAACTCCCTATAGGCCAAACATTCAAACACATGAGTCTATGGGGGTCATACTTATTCAAACCACCACACTTCTGCATGCAAGTTACCTAGAAGCCAGGTCACAGTAAGCATGTGCAGAAAATTTCCTTCAGTGCAGAAACTAGGAGCTATATGTTCTAGCTCCTTTTTGGCAGAGGTCCCTAGGAGTAGACTCTGGTTGTACTTGAACTATTGTTTACAACTGCCTGCTGGTGTTGTGACCTACAAAGACTCTCAAGGGTCCTTCCCTTTCCACCGCAAGAGCTAAGAGAATTTGGATGTGTTCCTTCCCGGGTCATTCAGCAGTGGACTAGCTTCTCTTTAGGTAAATTGGTAGTTGCAGGATAAGCTGGAGAGAAGGCCTGGGAAGTGCTGAGCTCTTCTTTTGGCTTTGGAGCTCCATTTATTGGTCTACTTAACTCACATGTCAGCAGCAGTAGGAGAGGACACTGGCTAACCCCTTTTAGGATCTTCTTCCTGGGGAATCAAGACTTTGGCAGTGTGCATATTTATAGAACTGTCATTTTGTTCTGTAGTCTAGAGGCATGCATACTCTTAATCTCTTTGTTCATATGTCCAGGAGAATTCAGGGCCCTGAGAATGTAAGAGTTAAGATGACATATTCCACTTGCTTCTGTCCTTCTAGCCTTAGGGAAATTGGGAAGTCAAGAGATTTTGTTCTAGTTGTCCAGTGCATGGCCTGGGTAGGGGTTGAATGTAACTGCCTCAGACTTTTTCTGTACATCCAGTGTGGATATTTATAATTGCCAAGTGTAGAAGAGGCTCATCTTGTTTCTGACACTCTTAGAAATAACTGATCTATTAGGTGCTTACTAGCTGCATTCCCGTCTAAGAGAGTCAGGAGCCTCATATTCAACCAGATTGCTGGTGTCACTGCCATTCTAATTAGAAAGGCTCCATTGGCTCCTAAGACTGCATTATGTAATATTGTTTTGTGGTGCTGTTCCAGAGGTCAATTGGAAACTTCAGATTATTTAGAAGACCCTGCCAGCCAGAAACTCATTAGTCCTATCCCAAGTGAAGTAATTTGTCCAGAAAAAACTGGTATTTTATGGAAGAACTGTGAGTTTCTGGTAAACCGAATGTGCCATTTGGAAAACCTCATCCAGTCCTTGAAGTTGAGCATCTGTCGTCTACAAACTGAACAGAAATTGAATCCACAGAAAACAGGTATAGGTTTGCAGAGGATTGCAGAGAATTTGTTTCTGTGTGGGTGCTTGATATTTTTGTGATTCTGTGGTTTTGTTCACCCTTCTTCTCTGTCCTTCTGTGCTTTTGTTCACCTTTCTGCTCTGTCCTGTGCTGTATGTAGCTTTTCTGAAGGATCAGCTGAATACAATACAGGAGGAACATTCCACGGACCTGAAACTGTTGCACCTTGAAGTGATGAATTTGCGCCAGCAACTGAAGGATGTCAAGGAGGAAGAAGACAAGGCACAAGATGAAGTGCAGAGATTGACTGCCACTCTGGAAATTGCCTCTGAGACAAAGGTTTGTGCTGAGTGTTCTGAAGTGTGGCTTCCCTGAAAAAGGCAACAGCTCCAAAAGACTGAATTACAAATGGAGATGTTGATGTTAGAATCTTGTCATTAGAAATTTGTCTCTATTAATGTGTATTGTCAATGGTTGTTCATAGACCCCTTGCTGTGTATAAAACCTAGGATCTAGGCTTGGTCCTCTTTTAAGAGCTACACAGTAGTTGGGAGCTTAAGGCATAACATGACAAATTATTTAGGAAAAAGTTGAAAACAGACCACTGAGTGAACATTGCATAAGAACACTGTGTTTGAGAGGAGGAGAATCTGTGGCCAATATAGATCAGGTCAACTTCAGAAAAGATACACTTGGTCTCAAAGCAGAGTGCTTAAGGCATCTCAGGGAACACAAGCACAGACAGCAAAGATGACTACTGCTTAAAAAGGAAACCAGGTCTCTTTCCATGGACTAGTGGACTGGTCGGGGTAATAAATCAGATTATTTTGAAAGGTCTTAAGAAGTAGCATATTATTAAATAAGAGTATGTTTTAATGAGTAATAGATCTGAGAGAGGTCTCCTGGCCACAATCATTCTGTGCTTATCCTCTTTCTGTTATTCAGATTTTTATGCTGGGTACCATTTTGAGTTAAAATGTGTGAACTCCAGCATTACTGGAGTGAGAATGTGTGGCAAGTAAGCTGAGTACTAGCTAATTTCACATTGCAGAGTACCTAAAAATCAAGAGTAATTAATACTTTGGATGACCCAGTGGGAACTGATTAAGAATTTTTGATGCAGAACCATGCACTGACAAGATAGAAAACGAATTAGATGTTACTGTATCCTGACTATGGAGAGAGGAAATTGGCAGCAAAGAACCCAAGCTTTGGACTTCCTGGTCGATGCTGCTAACTCTGCATGGCTCATGGGAGCACGTCTGTCCTCCAGCCCTTCTCTCACCTGCTCCGTTTCCTGAAGTCTCTGCTTTTTCTCTTGGATTCTGCTTTATTCTTCTGTCAACACACAAGCAACAAAAAAGGGAAGAGGTGTTTATTCCCCCAAACTATCAGTGTAACAAGACTAAGAAATCACGATGTAAAATAAATGTGGTTAAAACTTGGAAAAAAGTAATCTTTTGTGTTATGAGTCTACATAGGTCAGAACTAGAATTGTGGCAGGAGCAAAGGATATTTTATGAAAGATAGTCTTGGAATCAGGTACAAGATAGAAAGAAGGCGACCACAACTTTAGTCTTTATATCTAGGATTGTGGTATCATTGATAATGATTGAAAACTGTATTTTTCATTATGAATTCCTAAGCATGAATGGTATTTGAAACTGATGGTGCTATATACCTTCTAAAATACATTCCAAAATTTAAAAAGCAGCTATCTCTCTGAGTTTGAAGCCAGCCTGGTCTATGTAGTGAGATACACACACATACACACACACACACACACACACACACACACACACACACAGAGACAAACACATTCTCTCTCACACACACATTCCCTCTTTCTTCCCCCCCCCCACTATTTACTGAGTTAAGGGCACTAATTGCTTTTGCAGAGGACCCAGGTTTGATTCCCAGCACTCAATTGGCAGTGCACAAATGTCTGTAACTCTGTGGGTACCAGACAGGTACATGGTACACATATCTACATGCAGGACAAACACTTCACACAAATAAAAATAAGTCTTAAAAAGAAATAGGGGTTATCTAAGTGTGAGGAATGGAGTTTGAATTCCCATGACCTATACAAATTCTAAGCAAGCAAAGCAGCTTTAACATTCAGAAGGCAGGAACAAGATCCCAGGAGCAAGCTGGTTAACCAGACCAGCAAATTAAGGGATGGCATACTAAGTTCAGGTGAGAGGCCCTTAGTCAATGTGTAGAACAGGGAGCAATCCAGGGAGACACCCATTGTCATTGTCAACTTCTGGCCTCCACATACCTGTGTACCCATATACACATACACATGCATATACACACATATGTACCCACATACACACATGTATATGCACACATGTATACATACATGAACACCCATATGTATAGGTACACATGTATACATGTGTACCTCCCACATGTATATGCATACATATTCACACATGTACCCATATACACATGCATATGCACATATGTACACTGATAGACACATGTGAAAAATAAAAAAATAGCACTTATAAGCTGCCAAGGGAAAAGAAGACTGAATTTGACTTGATAAACCTAGACACAGTTTCTTCCTGTCATTTCAAGTTATTAGATCTTTCTTCCTTCTCTTTTCAGAAGAACGCAGCTGTTATTGAGGAGGAGCTAAAGACCACAAAGCGTAAAATGAACCTTAAAATTCAAGAGGTAAGAGAAAGGACAGGAGATGTTGAGGAGGTGTTGTAATAGCAAAGGGAAATCAAGAAAGTGTAAGGATGGAAAGAATCCTTTGAGAAAGAAAGTGTGTCTTTGTATGAACACTTTAAATATTTTTTCACATTTAACTGAAGCAAGAGTGTCTGCCCTCAGTTGCTTAAAGATATTCTTATATGTTAAAACTGCCATAAAACTGGAACTAAACCAAACCAAACCAACAAAAAAACAAAACACCCATTGAGCCAGTAGAGAAACAGTTACTAAACATGGTGGCCCATAGGCTATTGTTAAGTAAACACTTCGTGAGACATTTTAATATAAAGTTATGTTAAAATGGAAAAGTCTACACTTCTTATTTTACCTTGAAACATTCATGTGGGCTTACATGTTTGGAACTTGGAAGGAGTGGCTACTAAATGCTATTGAATTAGTTGTGGGTCTGTGTGTTAGTTGTCATCTATTCAACAGGGAGCACCACTGATGAGGCCTTAGAGACACGCTGATGTGTGGGTGTAAGGATAAGTTATAGGACCCAGTTTTCACTGTCCCCTTAGCAGTGTAGTAGTAATAGGTCCTTAACTATAACCTGACCACCCCCAGGTTCTTAGCCCCAGTGATGGTGCCTGTACTGGGTGGTTTTCTGTGGCAACTTGACACAAGCTAGAGTCATCAGAGAGGAAGGAGCCTCAGTTAAGGAAATGCCTCCATGAGATCCCGTGGTGTAAGGTATTTTTTCTACTAGTTGTTAATGGGGAAGGGCCCAGCTCATGGTGGTGCCATCCCTGGGTTCTATAAGAAAGCAGCCTGAGCAATCCAGGGGAAGCAAGCCAGCAAGCAGCTCCCCTCTATAGTCTCTGCGCCAGCTTGTGACTCTAGGTTCCAGCCCTGCTTAAGTTCATGTCCTAACTCCCTCCAATGAAGGACTGTGATCTGGAAGTATAAGCCAAGTAAATCCTTTCCTCCCCAACTTGGTCTTAGATCATGGTTTTTATCACAATAACAGTAATCCTAACTAAAACAAGCCTATATTTTTATTTCATTCTATCAATTCTATTCCTCTAGAGAACCCTGACTGAGTTGGCCTTTTTTTTAGATATCTTAATATAAATTTAATAGTTTTTTATTTATAGGAAATTATGCAGACAACATGTACCCATTCTCTATAAACTCCCAGTTTTTTCCCTAGCATTACATTTTGAAGTATTTTGGCCACAATTTATGAAATGATACTGATGTGTCACTAAAGTACATAGTTTACATTAGAATTACAGAAATTCACTGTAGTACTGTAGAGTTCTATGAATTTTAACACCATTTTAACACCATGTATCTGCCATTCCAGGATCAAGTGCAGTAGTTTCCCTGCCCTAAAAATGCCTTGTACTCCACAGGCAAATTCATCTCTTCTGCTAGTCCCTTGATGAGCACAGATCTTTGCATTGCATATATGGTTTTGGTATAGTTAAGATAATCCTTTTGGGCTGTACACTTAAGTTTCTTCATGTCTTCCCAAGGCCATTAGTTCATATCTTCTTTTTAAAGAAAGTATTTAATTTAGAAACAATCTTATGTATCAATCCCAGTTCCCTCTCCCTTCCATCTTCCCATGCTCCCCACCAACCCCCCCATCCCATCTCCCACTCACTCCCCAAGGAAGGTGAGACCTTCTGTGGAGGATCACCAAAGTTTTCATATCATTTTGGGGAGGGCCTAGGCCCTCCTTCATGTATCTGGGCTGAGGGAGTGTCCCTCCATGGGGAATGGGCTAGAAAGTCCATTTGTGCACTAGGGATAAATACTTGTTCCACTGAAAGAGGCCACATAGACTGCCCAGTTCTCCCAACTGGCACTCAGAGAGCTTGGTTCAGTCCAATGTTGGTCACCAGCTTTACAACTGGGGTCCCTGTGCTCCCACTTGCTCAAAGCAACTGTTTCTGGGGGTTTCTCCAGCCTGGTCTTGACCCCTTTACTCATTCCTCCTCCCTCTCTACAACTGGACTCCAGGAGTACAGCTCAGTGGTAGCTGTGGTTGTCTGCTTCTGCTTCCATCAGCTACTGGATGAAGGCTCTAGAATGGCTTTTAAGGTAGTCATCAATTTCATTATAGGGAATGGGCACTTAAGGTAGCCTCTCCACTATTTCATAGTACTTTTACTATATATAGTATATTTTCTTCATCCATTCACCAATCAGAGAACATCCTGGTGTCTTACAGGTCTGTGTGGACATAAGATTTCCACTTATTTGCTTGCACTGGGGCCATAGTGAAATCTGGGCCGAGGCTGCTTTTGAGGAGCATGTCTAGGTCTATGACCCTACAGAGGGCAGGCTCTGTGATGGTGACCATAGCCCTTGTTGCCACCAAAGGATTCTGGGTTACCACCTGTGGCCATGGAGTTGGAGGGACATATCACTGCTGGGACCATCCCAACCTGCCCCTCACCTAAGAGGAGTGGCTCCAGTGGCCTGGACTGACCAACTCAGTTGCCACCTGGCATACTTCCAGGGCTTGTAGTAGGCACATCCCAACATCTACCCCATCTATGATCTGCTGGAGTGTGTGAAGGGACTGATCCTGGGGACCCATAGCTGCAGAATCTCTACAACCAGGGGCAACAAACAGCAGGATATCAGAGAGGAATGTCAGTGGGGGTCAATATTGATGGTGTTCCAAAGCCAGAGAAGGGCCTTGAACCTTACCAACAAACTTAATACACAATGGACATTTGCAAGTAAAGTTGTTTGGACAGAAGTGTAGACTTCATGATACACAGCATCTCCCAGGGTCACAAAGATGAATGCGGACGTGATGGAGAGGTGGGAAAGCTGGAGGAGTAAAATGTTTTCCTTTTGTATTAGTATTGTTTATTTTCCCTCAGGGGGACACTACAAGAGGGAGAAGTGGATATAGAGGGACTGGGAGATGAGTAGGATTGGGGTGCATGTTGTGAAATTCCCTAAGAGTAATAAAAGATTTCCACTCGTTTGGGTAAATAACCTCAGAATATAATTACTGGTTGTAATGCAAGCCATATTTAGCTTTGTTAGGAACCACCAACCCATCTTAAAATTTAGCGAGACCATTTTGCATTTCTGTCTTGGAAGAATAAGAATCTTTGTTGTTGCACATTATCCTCAGCATTTGGTGTCAGAGCCTTAAATTTTTGCCATTTTAATAAATATGTGGTCTATCATGTTATAGTTTGAATACCCCAATGTTACATGATGTGAGAATCTTTTCATATACTTATTTATATATATATATCTCCATTGGGGAAATATATTTTAGATTATTATCTCATAATTAAGGTGGCTTAGTTTTGAGTTTGTTACTTGGTATATTTAGGGTCTGATTTGCAGGTTCCCTGTAAAGACTCAATAGCTAACAGCTGGATCCCAGTGGTCTTTGAATAGTGGTCAAACCTTTAAGAGATGCAAGCCTAGTGGAAAGCACTAATTCATTGAGGATAATCACCCTTGGAAGGGATTCATGTAGTTTTCATGCAGCCCTGGTTCGTTCCTATGAAAGTGGAGTTACTATAGAAAGGAGTAAGTCTGTGTGGCTTCTCTTGCCTGTATGATATCACCACGGTGTTATGTCATCATGAGGCCCTCACCAGAGCTGAAAATGTGTGGTTGTCCAATCTTGAACTTCAGCTCCTAAAACTTTGAGGTAGGGGCTGGAAAGATGATGGCTTAGTGGTTAAGAGCACTGGTCATTCTCCCAAAAGGCCCTGAGTTCAGTTCACAGGAACCACATGATTGTTCACAACCATCTATAGTGGGACCTGATGCCCTCTTCTGGTATAAAGGTGTACATGCAGATAGAGCACTCACATCTTTAAAAACAAAACCAGGAGCTAAATAAACCTTGATTCTTTATACATTATCTAGCCTCAGATATTTTGTTACAGTGACATATAAAAGACTAAGAGATGATATAAATCCTATATCAAAATGCGATGTATTTAAACATTTTCTGCCAGCCTAAATTTTGTCTTTTCATTTTCTTAGCAATGTCTTTCAGAGAATGAAAACCCTTCATGAGGTCTAATTAGAAAAATGTCTTTCATAGATAGTGATTTTGGTGTCACTTAGGTATTTGCATGATGTTTGCTTGTCCTCGGGACTTGCTGTGCCCTGTCATTTCTATTGCCTTCCTTTTGTATGTGCTGCTTGAAAGTTACTAGTGGGTCTTGATCCCCAATTTGTAAAGCAGATTTCAACAACAGAAAGATGGGGGGAGGGGGCAAGCTTGACTTCATTTTTAGGAAGGAATGAGCATGTTTCAAAGTAATGTGAAGGTGTGGGAATGAAAGCGTCTCATGGAAACTGTGGTGATTGCATCTTTTTGAACTGGAGTGGTATCCATTGGTCTCCCTAACTGCAGTGTTGCTCTTTAGCTAAGGAGACAACTGGCTCAGGAGAAGCACTTCAGGGAGTCTCTTGAGAAATCTTCATTGTCCATGCTACTCAAAATACAAGAAATGGGCTCAACAGTGGAGGCAGAACGGAAGCAGGTACAGATTTGCTTTCCTTGTTTGTTAGAGAAGTAAAACCACAGAAGGGGGAGCTGGCATTCTTCCCTGCAAGCTCATCAGTTTGTTTATTTCCTCTAGATTTACTGAGGTCCTTTTTCTTAGTGACCTGATTAAATATAGTGCAAAATAAGAATCACTCTGCTATCTAACTCAACAGTTCTCAATTCATGAATGAAAAAGCCAAGGTCCAGAGAAGTGAGTCTGTCTCAGGTTTTATTGAGGTTAATTATGTTGGTACGTTAGCCTCCTGTACCAGGCAGTCTCTGCTATAGGCATTCATTGTGGAAGCTGCTGCCCTAGCTAATGCTATGTTTATGATCTGCTTAGAAAGTAAAGACTAAGTGGAATGAACCCTTGAAGCAAATAAGTAAAATAACCAGGAACATATTTACGTTGCTGTTTTCATGTATCCTACTTATATTAACATGATATTTTTGCCTCCACAGTCTTTATTATTTGAAATACTTTTATGTGTTTAAGATGCCTTAAATTTGCATTTTGGTATTTATTATTTGAGTGTATAATCTTTATCATTTTTACCAATGACTATACTTCACAGCTGAATTATAAAAATGAGTCTATTTTACTTAAGGAATTATGGACGATCCTATTTAAATCAAAATTGGTTCAATGTAAATAAAATTAAAGATAAAATTCTTTTCTTGCCCTGCTACCCTCATGTGCTCAGCAGCCTGCTGTGGCTGGTGACTACTGTTTAAGTGCACATAGGATGCGCCATGGGACAGCACTTCAAGTTAGAAACTGGTCTGCTGAGATTTCAGCTGGGAAAATACCGGCACGTCCCTTTCCTCTCAGTGACACTAGGGTTGAAAATTCCACCTTCTGTGTGTTCTATCAGATCATGCACTATCTTACAGAAACAGTTTTTCTTAACACAATTTCAGGTGCACTCTTTGCAGCAGAACTGCACTGCCCTGCGCGGCTCTATTCAAACCACCCAAGAACTGTTGGCACAGGAGCAGCAAAAGAATGGAGAGTTGGAGATGATTACCTCACAGCTCAAGTCTGATCTAAGTATGCAAAAACTCCTAAGAGCCTGAGTTCTTCAATTGGCCAGGGTTGGTGGTGGAAAACATTGCTGGGCTTCTTCCTATATGGTCCTGAAACCAAGATAGATATTGGTAATAAAATTTGATCTTAATTTTCTGTGTGTGTGGTAAGAGGTTGATAGGGCCTTACCTATACTAGGCAAACTCTTCACTGAGCTTGCCCCGTGGCCACCTTTGGGTTTGGTTTGTTTGTGGGTTTATTTGCTGAAATGGGGGGGTCTAAGTTGCTCAGGTTTGAGTTAGGCGTGAGATCTTTTTATCTAAGCTTTACACATCTAAGATGCAGGTCTGTGCCACTAGGCCTGGCAGAGCCTCTTCTTTGTTTCTTTCTTTAAAAAAAAAAAAAAAAAAAATGAATACAATGTAAGGCCTGCATGTATACCTGCAGATCAGAAGAGGGCACCAAATCTCATTACAGATGGTTGAGAGTCACCATGTGGTTGCTGGGAACTGAGTTCAGGACCTGTGGAAGAGCAGCCAGTACTCTTAACCACTGAGCCATCTCTCCGGCCCGAGCCTCTTATTTATAAACCATTATCTTTAAGTTTTCCCTTCCATGATGACTCAAGTGTGCACTAGTGGGGACATTTAGACACTGTGGATATAAATGTGTCAATTAACTATTAATAAGGAAATGAGGTTCCTCTTACTTACTGTAGCCAAATTTACCATTCTTCCAGTTGTCAATTCACAGAGATGGGTGTTTATAATGCACCGGTAAGAAGAGTTTAGAATAATTCCCTTATTTTACAGACTAGTTCTCAAAGGGGCAGAGCAGGGAAAGAGGAGTCTTAACCCCGAGTCTAGGTGCACAATCTTGCTGTTTCAAGCCCATCAATCAGCCTTTGCCTCTACTGCTGTTGGTAGACTACTGTAAAGCAGCATCAGGCAGTCTCCACTGCAGAGACCATTCCCACATGAATAATGGTTTATGTAGGGCTTTCACACAGATTGTGTCATTGGTTGCTCAAAGCTGTCTGTAGCCATTGAAAGTTCCAAAAGAAATGGAGAAGAAAAACTTAATCCTGTCTTCTCATTGTGAGCCGTGTGTTTCTTCTAGTGTGCTACCTGCAATGAGAAAGCACCAACGGAAAAATAAACATGACAAAAAGTGTAGAGAAAAGAGTAAACCAATGCCTTTCTACAGTTGTTAGCCACCTTTCCTTGGGGCTGCTGAGTGAGTCACTGTGTCAGGTTCCTGATGGCAATGCCTGGAGATAACCTTCTGTCTTCTATTGTACACCTACACACATTTGGGTTACACTTCATATTTTTTCCTTGGGATCTCATTTTCACTTTATGACAACTTTGTTATCAAGAAAGAAAATATACCTATCATACACAGTAAAAAGATCTGGAGATCATGCCCAAGGACCCAGTATACACAGAATAGCATGGGCTAAAGTGCAGATCGTTCTGTGTATGAGCTCTCTGTTTATTGGGCTTTCTCTTACATAGATTTGTTTAGTTTTTTGGATTTTTTAAGCATGTGTGTGAGACCACTAGATGAAGATTAAACACAATAAATCAAGATAGCATGAGGGAAAGGAAGCCTTACTGAATACCAACTGTATGCTCAGTATTATTGACTTTATGTACCATTTTATTGCTTTTAGGTACAAATAGCTATATGGCTAGGTTAAAAAGAAATAACTTTAAATACTTTCTTCAGTGTATTAAAAATAGAAAAGGATATTAACAGTAAATAACATGTAACTTAAAGTAATTATTCTATGAAGATAGACGTTTCCTTTTGTTCATACTTTGAGTATAACTTTAGAACAGATCACAACATTTATCTCTTTTCATTTTCACACATTTTGAATTAGACTTCAATGAGTCATTGATTCACATCTTTATAAAACAGTTTCTTTAAGATATATCCTATGTAAAATAGGAGTTTTTAAACATGTTTTGAAATTGCCTGGCTTTAAATTTTAAGTATAACAGCACTAATATAGTTCTAAATTTTCTATAAAGTCAAAACATTAATTTTAAGTGTTATACAATGCCAAACTATTACCCAATTTTCCTTCCTGCATGTGTGTGACAAATGCTCTAACATGGAATCACAGCTCAGCTGTGTTCCTTAATTTTCTGTCTTCGGTTACAGCCTGTGAATGGTTTCATATCTAACCCTGAAGTTACCCTTCAAAGCTGTAGACCACTATCCTGCTGTCAAATCAACACCTGTAGTTGGATGCCAGACACATCAGAACATGAGGAAAATGTCAGTGTCTATCCATTCATTTTGTTCTGTTTCTGGAGTTTGCTCCTTCCATGCAGACCTTATATAGGTGGAGTCCAGCATCTACCCTGCTGCCCCTGTCTGCTCGCTGCATGGTCACCTGGGTCCCAACAGTCTTCTCTTCTGTTTCATATGTCTGGTTTCCTTCTCTGTTTTCATTGTCATTGCCAGGAGAAAAATAGCCCTTATTGTTTTATGTGTGTGTCCCTGGTTTTATTAAATCTTGATTAAAGTAACTTAACAAAAATATGTTGATTATATCCCTCCCAGAATAATGTATGCATTGAATAAAATGTGACCTTATTTACTATTAAAAGCAACAGTGGACCAGGTTCTTTTTAACTTATTGTCTGATTAATTTTATCACTTTAAAGAGAAGTTTGCCATGTAGCCCAGGCTGGCCCTGAACTTATGATCCCCTACATCAGTTGCTCAAATGATGAGATTCTAGGCAATCTGTGTTGATAATTATGTACCTAGCCTATGAAAATATGATAAAATGCAGGTGTTAATATTTCCACAAAACATTGACTTAAACGACCAAAGCTTTTAGGGAAAAGTGCTGTGTGGTTTCTATGTGTTAAATCACCATTGCCATCATATAAACTTTTTGCTTTTAGTTTCCAGAGATAACCTCATTTGCAAGTTGGCTGAAGAAAATAAGGTATGTATTCCTGTGACAGAATACAGAGATGGTGGCTTTCTTTATTTCTTTGTTGTTGTTGTTAGTTTTGGTTTTGGTTTTTTGAAACTCTTTTCTATGTATTGCTTTGGAGGTTGTCCTGGAACTCTCTGTGTAGACCAGGCTGCCCTCAAACTCACAGAGATCTGCCTGCATCTGTCTCCCGAGTCCTGGAATTAAAGGTGTGAAGGTGGCTCTCTTTATTAAGTCATAATCCTTCACTGGTGCTTGTATATAAATTTCTGATTCTTCAGAAAGCTCTAGGAACAAAAGGTTCACATAAATAAGCTGTATATTCAGGCAGTACTAAGTAGTAGAACTAAGTGATCATCTTAAGCAGGTTATCTTCTTTTGAAAAGATAAAATAAAGCTGGGCATTGGTGGTGCATGCTGTTGTTAGTCTTAGCACTTGGGAGACAGAGCCAGGTAGATCTCTGTGAGTTCAAGGCAAGCTCTGATCTACAGAGCAGGTTACAGGACAGGCTCCAAAACTACAGAGAAATCCTGTCTCAGAAAAAAAAAATCGTGGATTTTGCCAATTATAAATTAATTTCTAAAACAGGGTCATGAAATATAATATAGTGTTGAAGTTCATGGTTGCTCAGCAATGGAAGTGCATCAAATACTGAACCACAAGTTGTTTCCCTCAAAATATTTTTTAACTTTTTAAATTTAATATTTTTTTCTTATTTTACATATCAGTCCCAGCTCCTTCTCCGTCCCATCCCCCATCCACTCCCCAGGGAGGGTGAGACCTTCCATGAGGGATCATCAAAATCTTGTCAAGTCATTTGGGGTAGAGCCTAGGCCCTCCCCCCATGTCTCTAGGCTAAGGGAATGGCCCTCCATGGACTGAATCACACTCTTAAAGGTGGGCAAAATGGTGAACTTTATTTTAACTGAATTCAGAAAAGAAGAAAATTTTTATCATTTTACACTCTTAAGTTAGTCTCTGTGCTCCCATTTGGAATAGGTTTTCTGTTACCCTCTCACCCTGTGTTGTGTGGTGCTTGTCTTCCCACTTCGGAGGAAATTGAGAAGTAGTTTTCTCAGTGCTCATCGCTCTTTTACCAAAAAGTTCTTAAGGACTCTTCAGTCACCCCTCACTTGTCTCTTCCCCTCTCCCAATCCCAGAGAGAACTAGTTCTGTTCCTTGGAGCACAGGTGCTTCCCTTCTCCACCCTGAGGTCCTTATTGATGGAAGCATCTTATAACTTTTAAAGGTGTTTGAATGTGTTTCTTTGGAATCACAAAATCTTACTGGTAATAAAAATGTGTATTTGATATAAATATTCTTATAGAGATCTGACTTGACATAGGAATATAAGTGAGTAGTTATAGAATGATTTTAGTCAATTTTTCTAGTCAGAATGCTAATATGAAACTAATGAAGTCTTTAAAATTTATTTTTCCTTCTCATACATTTTCTGATTAAATTATTTTATTTCATGATCAGTTTTACTTGAGCAAGTGAACATTCCCCTAATTTGTGCTATGGGGACTAGAATGCAAAAGTCTCAGTATTCTTTGAAAAATAAAAATATGTGAGCCAGGAAAAGTTAGGCAGTTTTGAGTTGAGCAAGATTCTGGAGGACATCTTGGTTGCCTTCAAGTTCAGCAAGTAAGAGCTGAACTGATTAATATGTACGTGAAGGCTTTTGCATGAGATAAGTTGTCCATGAGAAAAAAACCTAGCAACAGGGCCGCTGGATCATTGCAGTTTCAGTTTTGTAAGAATATTCAGACTGTTTTCTGAAGTGCACCATCATTTTCATTCCCACCAGCAGCCAATGAGAATGCTCTGCATCTGTATCAGCTTTGTATACACCCTTTCTTTGGTACTGAGAAATAAAGGGAGTTTGGAAATCAAAGATACTAAGACTCTGTACGCACCTAGAGATGTGCATAATATCTTGCCCATGTGAAAAAGAGAGCAATTTTTTTTCCTTCAATAGAGTACACAAATGTCTTTCAACAAGGAACATGAAGAAAATACGTATTTGAAATCTGAAATGATATCCCTTCAAGATGCATCAGAAAAGGCAAAGGTAAATCTTTGCTTCTCCCTCTCACTTTCTTAAGATATTAATTAGTTTAATTAAAGAACCAAGAGTAATCTTGGTTATATAAATTCATATTGTCTTTTTCCTCTAGCTTTTTATTTCTGTAAGATCTACTTCATCTATCAACCATTATCAAATTAACTACATTTTGGATTTCCCCTATCAAATTCCTTTGATACTGGTACAGGTACATGACTAATCACATGTACATTTTGCTTTCTAATTTAGTCATTGTATTAGGCTTTTTTTTTTTCCTGTGATAAAATACTTGAGCAATTTAGGGAAGAATTTATTGTGGCTCACACTTTAGGGTGAGTAGGTCATGGAGCTCAAGGTCACAGGGCATCTGCAATGGAGAGGAGAATGAGAAATGTTTGTCCACAGCTTGCCTTCCCCTTCTTATCCAGTGTGGGACCTCTGCCTGTGGAATGGTGTTACCTATACTTAATGTGGGTCTCAACTTCACCTAAAAATCTCCCATTTACATGTTTAGAGGTCTGTTTCCATGGTGATTCTAAAATCCATCAGGTTGATGAGATTAACCATTGAAATTTCTCTTCCCTTACCCAGTGCATTTCTAAGAAGCTCCATTGCAACCGCTATCTACTAAACTTTTTTGGTGTGCTCTGTATAAAATAGTACAGAAGAGCATAAGAAATGCTTGTTAGAGTTGGGATTTAAGGATGATCATTTTCTGTAAGGTGTTGCATCCAAATTTAACTTATACTTTATATTAATACTTGAGTGTATATTGAAAACAGTAACTGAATACACAGGCACACTATTTCACAGAATCCAGTGAAATGCTTATCCTTAAAACAACTTTTCTTTTGGCACAATTAGATTGCTGTATTGTTAATGTCATTATGTTGCTGTACTTTATAGTAAAATGAAATAAAATGAAAAGAATATCCTTTTATAAAAGTCACCACTATTTCTATACCAATGGTTAACACTAGGTGAACCTGTTTCATATACTAGGCAAACTCTAAGCACCTCACATTACTAACACTTTAACCTCTGCTGGTGCACTAAAGACTGGAAACTGTCACTCAGGATTTGAAGCTCAGGAAGCTTGTACACAGAAGGTTTGCCAGTTCAGCCAGCAAAATGGCAGAGGACGTTTTGCTTTTTGTCTTGTTTGAGTTTGGGTAATTTGGTTATAAACAAACACACTAGCTATTCACTGAAGTCCACAATTCTCATTCAGAAGTGGAAGCATTCACCCATGAGCCCCATATTCTCCAGTCAGGAGCACTAGAAGTTCAAGGTCCTCTTCAGCTACTTAGAAAGCATGGCCAGCCAGACTTGATAAACAATGAACAACATAAACCCCTGCCCATTTTACCTTAAAAAAAATCAATTCAAGTGTATATCTGCCACAAGAATATGGATTTCTGGAGCTGAGGACAGGAGTGTATAGCACAGTATGGGGGCAAGTTATTTACATGCTTGAAGCCCCGAGTTTAATTCAGAACCTCAAAACAAGAAAAGGTAAATTTTGATGTCAGAGAATCATTAACTACTGGTATGATTTGGGGGAATTTTTGTTTTGTTCTGAAGGATCAAAATCTTGTGGGATTAAAATCTGTAATTTGCTTTTGTAAATACTATCTTTGATGGTAAAACATGGATATTTTGTGTTACTGGGTAAGCAATTGTTACAAGTACTTCCCCCCTCCCCGCCTGGTCCCAGAGCCCCAAATAACATAGAAACACTGTATTAATTATGAAACTGTTGGCCAATGGCTAGAGCTTCTTATTGGCCAACTCTGTCTTAACTATTAACCCATTTCTATCAATCTAAGTGTTTCCATGTGGTCTCACTGGAAAGAGAGACTCCAGACCTCTCATTCCTCTCATGGCCTACATCTTGTCTCTTCTTCCTCTACTATATCTCCCAGAATCCTCCTTGTCTCCTAGTCCTGCCTATCTTGCCTTCCTATTTGCCAAAAGTGCTTTATTCGTTAGCCAGTACGAGAAACATATTTACAGAATGTCATCTCCCATCACATTGTCAATGTTGATGATAAAATTTTGGGAATGAATTTTTTATATTATTAGCTAGCTAGACACTTGCACTGAAATTCTATTTAGAAGTCTTGCTCTATTTGACTTGTATTTAAAATTGTGAATTGAGTAAAATGCCAAATGCCTCAGGAGCTCCATAAATGAAATCAATCAATTGGAATTGATCACTTCCTCTCTCCCTTTGTATTCCACCCCTTTTTCTGGTCAGTTGGTATTTATCACTTCCTCTCCCTCCGTAGTACCCCTCCTCTGGCTGTAGAATCCAAATTCATTTTTAAATATAATAAAAAACAAATTGTTGGAAGTTTTAGTCATTTGTGGAAGGTACATTGATCACATCCATCTACCACTACCTTCCACCAATTCTCCTTGTGCTCCCTCCTAATTTAATTTTCTCTCTCTGTTTTTTTTATTCTTAATACCATCAATGCAGTTAGAGCTGTTCATATGTGCATGGGTATGTGGCTAGACCCCAGGGTGTAGGTAACCTACCAGAAGCCACATTCCCCAAAGAAGCAACTGCTCTGCTTCAGGAGCCATCAACCTCCAGTAGCTCCTGACTGGCTTTATCTTGTGCAGGTTATGAGCCGATGCATACCACTACTGAGAGCTGTGTGACAGTCTTGCCATGTTCTGAAGTTGCATTTCACACCTTTCCCCCATATCTGCTGATGGCCCTAAAGTCCTCCCTTCTCTGTACAGCTCTGTGAGCTGTGGGTGGTGGGAAGCTGATGCCATTGCACAGCAGAGCACTCACAGTTACTACACTTGGTACTTTACGTTATAATTCTCTGCATTAACCACTTTCAGCTGCAAAAACATGCTTCCCTGACCAAGGTTGAGAGCAGCACAAATTTGTGGGTACAACTGTAAATATTTAGAATATAATCAATTGCAAGAGCGTTTAGCAAAACAGTAACAGTGAGTTTCCTCCTAAGGCCCATTATTCCCCCAGTTAGGAACTTTAAATTAGGTTTGTAGCTCCAAGCATGAAATCCCGCCTGTAGAACAGACATACTCAATCAAAACAGTTGGCTACTTCTAAAACAGTCATGCCCCTGTTGCATCAGTGGACATATCTTACTAGCAGGTCAGTAATGTAGCATTCAATATTCAGTGCTGGCTGGCTGCTTAGCACTTTCTGTCTGGCACTATGAAAGCTAGCTAGCAGGGAGTTTCCTGCTCAGTTCAGGTTAATTTAGCTATGTCCCACATCCAAAGTAAATAGTATCTTTAGCAATAGGTTCATACTATTTAATTATGCTAGGCAACCAAGAACAGAGGCAAAAGCCTATATTGTTTTGGTTATATCTAGGAGGTCCTGTTACTCATAGGGAAGTATTTGAAAGTAGTTTTTAAACTAATGAAATATTGATGATATGTTGGCTAAGTTAGACTTAGTGTGTTATTGTGAAATCACTAAAAATATGTAAGTGCAGTAATTATTAGGACTTATGACTTGCTGTGTATGTTATCTTAGGTTCTGAATGACGAGCTCTCCAGGAAGTGTTCAGAGCTAACCAACATGCTGAAGATTGTTAAAATGGAGAATGCCAGGGTTATTGCTGAACACCATGCTATTCTGCAGGTATTTTCTTGGTACTCAGACTTCTTTTGTTTGCTTAGAGTTTCTTCTTTTTTAAGACATCTCATTTATCCCACACTGGCCTCAAATTCAGTATGAGTAAGAGTGACCTTGAATTTGTGATCCTACTGGCTAGATCCTCCAGAATGCTAGAATTACAGGCTGCAGCCAGCATTTCTTTCCTTTTTATTTGACTGTTTGTTTCAGCAGGATCTTACTTTGTAGTTCAAAGGCTGCTCTGAAATTCACAGTCTTTCTACCTCAGCCTACAGAGTTCTGGGATTACACGCTATTATTATGACCCAATTGCTTTTTTTTAATTAGTAATTTCCTCCTTTTGCAAAGCGGTGATTTGGCCTTACAACTAAATGGTTTTTAATGCTTTCTTCACAAATATCATGACTTTTAGGAAAATTAGTATCTGTTGTAGTATTTGTATAATAATGGTGTGTAGTTTTGAAACTTTAAAAATGTTTTGACTCACTATTTTGCTTGTATGTATGTATGTATGTGTACCATGAGCCTGCCTGGTACCAGAAGATTTCAAAAGAGGCAGTGGATCCTCACAAACTGGACTTGTGGTTGGGAGTGAGCCACTATGTAGGTTGCTGGGAACCAAACCTGGGTCCTCTTAATGACGTAGCCATCTCTCTAGCCCCCAATGATAGGTACATTTAAAACTGACTCTCACACACCTGTGACTTCCCATTTTGCTTACAGTATTAAAAATACTCTTGACTTTGACCCTGTTTGTTTGAAATTCTGCTTCTTTGTTAGGATTACTTTTCACCAGTCAAAATGGAAAAGTTTTCAAATTCTGGTACTTGGATGCTAAGTAGTAGTAGCTCCTCTGTGTGAGTGAGTATGCGTGTGTGTGTGTGTGTGTGTGTGTGTGTGTGTGTGTGTGTGTGTGTGTCTTCATCTTTGTGTAGCAGAATTATAAAATGACAGACCTGGGTCAACAAGAAGGCTGGGTCCTCAAACTATTTATCACAGACTTTATTTGTGAAAATGAAGCAAGTTTTGAAGTGAGCATAGGGTCTTTGAACAGTTACTCTGTCTATTACCCTGTCAAACAGCATCTCAGCTTTTACTACTCTACCTCTCAGGTGGAGCAGAAAATGATAACAGAGACATTTCAGGAGCAAAATATACTGTTAGACGCAGCCCATGCCAGCATCACCGGTGAACTGCAGACCATTCAGAATGATAAAGCCCAACTCCAGACACACCTGTAAGCAAGCCAGTGCCACGAGCTGCTTTTGTTCTCTTCCTTTGTGTTTTCTGTCCTATGTGAAAGTACCTAGTTTCCCATTTATGAGCCAACCACAGGGATAAAGAATTCTGTCCGGAGGGACCAGTTTCCTAGAACATTGTGAGGCAGGTGGATCTCTCTCTCTCTCTCTCTCTCTCTCTCTCTCTCTCTCTCCCTCCCTCCCTTCCTTCCTCCCCCCCTCTCTCTTAATTCAAGGCCTGCCTGGTCTACAGAGTGAGTTCCAAGACAGCCAGGTCTTCTGTTACACAAAGAACCCCTGTCTGTGAAAACCAAAAGAACAAAAACAACCCAGAGAGGGGGTGGGGGCAGGGGAGAGAAGAACATTTGTCATCTGGGCCAGCAGGATTTGTTTAACTAGATGACTCTTGGTTCTCTTCCTGCAGAGACCATTTAATCCTTGAGCACAGTCAGTGTCTCCAGAAAGCACAGGATGCTGAAAAGAGGGCACTGGTGCAAAAAGAACTTCTGGAGTCAACTATTGCACGACTACGAGATGAACTGGAAGCATCAGTGCAGGAGAAGACATCTCTGCTAGAGGAGAGCGAGAGGTTTCGGCAGGAGGTAGGAGGAGCAGCTGTCCCTCCTAGTTGAGGGGCAGAATGGTGTTTCACAGTGGTAGTCAGAGATGCAGGATGCTGTCACCTGCTGTTTAAATCTGTGTCTTCTAAACATTGTTCCATTTCTTTTCCTACCTGCCCAGGTTAGCAAAACAGAAAAAGAAGTAGCCAAAGAAAAATGCAATTTGGAAAAGGAATTAGCTAAAAGCAAGGTATTGAGGTTTGATTTTTTTTTTTTTTTTTGAAGTTTCATTTATTCTGACCCTCTGTATTGCTGTCTACTCTATCAGTGTATTTAATAAATAGGGTGATTTTACTGATTACCAGTCTGGGGGAGGGGCACAAAGCCAGTGTCATGTAGGGCCTTCTAGTGCTCTGTGGGGGAAGGAGTGTTGTTTGTTGAGTATTTGGAGTTTGCCCCTGTAGGCCCTCACTGCTTCTGGCCCTAGAGTTCCCTGAGACTGAGTTAGCTAATGGGTCTAAAGAAGGCAAAGGGTGACCACTAACACTGCTTACTTACAGTTGTAAAAGCAAGCTTGGCTTTTATATTGTAAGTACCTATGAGTACATGCTACCTATCCTTGAGTTAGCCTTATGTTTTTCTTTAGTTGATATATTTGTACATCCTGACGGAGTAGCTTACAGGTAATTTGGTTCATGCAGGCAGTGTATGGTAAGTAAGAATCACGGGCACTTCCACATCCTTACCTTAGTGACTTTTTGTAGGTTGTAGATTTCATACTCTAGACAGTTTGAAGAGTATCACAGATCATAATACTCAATGATTGCCCTATTGTGCTGTCAATCAAGGGTTAACCCCTCCCACCCCACACACCTGTGTTTTGGTAACTCTTATTTAACTTCACTCCATTAATGCTTCCCATTGCCCGTTAGCCTTTAATGATCACTATTCCACTCAGTTCTTCTAGGAGATTGGCTCTAGTTTTTATGAATGAGTGAAAACAAGTAATTTGTTTCTGGCTGATCTCAATTAGCGTTATGACTTGCATTTATCTACTTGCCTATTCTTATGATAGTTTTGTTTGGATCTCGGGGTGAACAAACGTAACTTTTAGATAGTTTTGAATCTATACATTTCCAGCTGAACTTTTAAGATCAGCTTTTCTAGTTTTGTAAGAAAGGATAACCGCAAGTTTGATAGGCTGTATACTAATTCTATACATTAATTTTTGGAGCATTACAATGTTAATAATACATATGCCATATGTGTGATTTTGTGATTTCTGTCTTTGCTTTGTCTTGTATAAGCTGACTTAGAACTTGTGCTATAGTGTTGACTAGAAATGGTGAGGGTAGGCATCCTTGTGCTAACTTGTCACATTGTCATGTGAGCTGTAGGATGCTGGTAAATTTCCCTCATGAAATTGAGGAAATTCCCTTCTATACATTAGGGTTTGGGGGAAATTTTAGTTGTACAATTTTGAATTTTGTCAAATGTTTTATCTGAAAGTATTGAAATAATCTTAGGGATTGTGTCCTTGATTTTTACAATTATATGTTATATTCATTGATCACAAATGCTTTTTTTTTTTTTCAAAAGTTAGCTTATATTTCTAAGCCAGGCTAACATTCACCTGGTCATGTTTTATATACATGATTTGTATTGCTGGACTGTTTTATTGAGTTTTTAAAGTGTTATTCATAAGAGATTGTTTTATGATTTTATTTTTGTGTTAACTTTGGTTTTGGTGTCAAGATAATATTACCCTCTTAAAATGATTTGCAAATGTTTCTTTTCATATTTTTGGCTAAGACTTTTTGAGGGTCTCATAACAGTTCTTCATTAAGTGTTCTTATATTTACTAATGAAGCCATCTTGTCATAGACTTTGCTTTGATGGAAGTTTGGTTTTTTGTTTATTGGTTTTTGTTTTTTCTTCTGTTTTACATTATTACTGGTTCAATCTTCTATTGAAGGTCTCTTCTGAATTTCTGATCCTTTCTCTTCTCCATTTTGCGTTTTTGTTTTTCTTTTGAATCACTTTCAATAGATTGGTCCTCTCTAGGAATGTGTCCATTCAATCTAGAGTGTGTACAATTGTTCTTTCTAGCCATATACATTTATTTCAATAAAATCACAAGTAACATTCTCTATTGCACTACTATCTAGTAATTTGTATCTTCTCTGTATTTCCTTGGTTAGTCCAGCTACCTGCTTTTTGTTTTCTGTTATTTTCTTGTACTTTATTTCATTTGTGCTATAATATTTATATTATATGTCTTCTGTTTGCTTTGTTTAACCTGTTGTTTGATTTCTAGTTCAAGATAAGCTTGGGTCATTCATTGACTTAAGAAATATTTCTTTTGAACTGGAGTGATGGCTCAACCACTAAAGACTAGGCTCACAACTACAAGATGTTCCCTCTTAGGAATATAGATGGTTCCAGGAATGAATGTCCCTTTCTAAACTGGCTTCACTGCATTCATAAGTTTACTTGTGATGTTCTTTCATTTTCTGTCACCTCAAATTATCCCTTAAGGTCCTCTGAGATTTCAGTTTTTTTTAAATGTTATTTATTTAACAGTTATTTTAGAAATGTGTTAATTTCCTTATATATCTATGAACTTTCCCAGATATTTTTGCTTTAAGTTTAATGTTGTTATATTTTGGATGAGAACATACTTTGCATGATTTTAACCCTTTCTTATTTATTAATAGTTGCTTTATGACCTAACATATGGCCTATTGTAGAGATTATTGCATGTGTATTTGAGAAAGTCTGTAGTCTGCCTTATGAAGAATTGTTCTCTTAGGGCTTGTTAACTAATAATATTGCTTAAATCTTCTATTTGCTCATGAATCTTTTGTTCTATTTAGTATTGCATGTAGAAGATTTGAAATCTATCTACTGTTTACTTCTCTATTCAATTCCGTTCTTATTTTGGCTTTGGGGTTTTCTTTTTATAAGAACATATAGCTATATAAATACTACATTTTGATGGTTAACACTATTTTCCATATGTAGTGTAGAAAATAGTTAATAGTATTGCTCAAGTCTATTTGCTCATGGATCTTTTGTTCTATTTTTATTTTAATGTTTGATTCTAATATTAATGTAGCCAACTAAGCTATTTTCACATTGTTGTTTATATGACAGATATTTCCCCATCCCCTAAATCTAAAATCCATCTTTCAAAAATAGGTGGATCATTAAAAACACTCATTCTGTCTCTTTCTGTTTTTTTAAAAAGACTTTTATGTATTTTTATGTGTATTGGTATTTTGCCTGTGTGTATGAAACCGTGCCACATGCACGCTGAAGAGGCCAGAAGACGGTGTCATATCTTTATGAACTGGAGTTGTAGATGCTTGTCCCAACACCATGTGGGTGTTGGGAATCTAACTGGGTTCTCTGAAAGAGCAACTAGTGCTCTTAACTGCTGAGCCTTCTCTTGATCCCAATATTTCTGCTATTTAAAAGACATGATTTAAAGTCTAAATAATTACTAATGAGAACTAATTTACATCAACAGTTTACTTTTTGCTTTTGTATTGTTACTCTGTTTCTTAATTATTGTCTTCTTCTGTTTTGTGATTATTTCCCTTGCATCATTTTAACTCCCTTACTGCTTCCTCTCTTATCCTTTTTGGCTTTGTAGGTAAGAAAAATTTACAAACAAAATATGGGGCTTGGAGGTATGGCTCAGTCATTAAGAGCATGCCGTCCTCTTGCAGAGGACCAGGTTCAGTTCCCAACACCCACATGGTGGCTCAGAGCCATCCATAACTCCAGTTCCAGGGGATCTGATTCCCTCTCTGGCCTCTGAGGGCACCAAACATGCATGTGGTACCCTTTACCCTTTATTTCTTAGGTGGATTCCAGTTGTCATCTATTACCCATTTGTTTCAGCCTGAAGAATTCCCTTTACTTTTCCATGTAGACTTTGTTTTCTAGCCCCAAAATCTGTACACAAAACAGGGGGTGGGGGGAATTGATAAATTACATATTTCAGTGAGATTTGAATATGTCACAGCCTTAGGGTTATGTGTTAAGCCAGAACAGTCTGTTGTGTGAATTAATATAATTTTTGTTTATCTGAGAAAACTCCAATATTTTTATTGTTGTTAAGGGCTAGTTTTGCTGGGTTCCTAATTCATAGTTGAGGATATTTCTCCTGAAATTTTAAGTACACTATACCTCTCCCTTTTGCCCTTGTAAGTGTCATGCTCAGTCAGCTGTTATCCTACTGGTTATATCTGGTACATGGTGAGCCCTTTTATGGTGGCTTTCAGGGCTTTCTGAATTTGACTTTCAGCATTTTGATGATTTAGTGATATGCTACATTTTGGAGCATGCCTTCAAGTCTTATTTTGAGAGTGTACAGAGCATCTGTCTAAGGTGGACTTTGGAAGCCTTCTCACATCAGAACATGCATACAGTTCTGCCCAAGTTGAGACCCTACGCATATACATGACTTTGTAGAGTTTTAGGAATTTGTCAATATTCTTCAAAGCTTCTAATGGATATTTCATTCCCTATTCTTTGTCTTTTGGATTTTCTGATTATCTTTTTTTTTTTTTTTTTTTTTTTTTTTTTTTTTGTCTAATTCTTTACATTTACTGCAGGCAACTGCAAACTTAGCCAATTACCTCTAGTCATTCATTCCTACATATGTGTCTAGAAGAAAGCTTTTGTACTGAGTATATTCCAAGTCAGCCCAAATTAAGACAGTCTTGTTTGGGAAGTCATCCAGCGAAGCACCAAACAGATTGTCCTAGCTAGTTTTATGTCAGCTTGACACAACTAGTGCCATCTAAGAAGAGGGAACCTCAATTGAGAAAATGCCTCCAATAAAAGTTGGCTATATGCAAGCAAGCTACTAAAGTATTTTCTTAATTAGTGATTGATGGGGGAGTCTCCAGCCCATTATAGGTTGGGAAATTGTTGGGCTTTTGGTCCTGGATTTTATAAGAAATCATAAGGAGCAATCCAGTAAGCAGCATCCCTCCATGGCCTCTGCATCAGTTCCTGCCTCCAGGTACTTGCCCTGTTTGAGTTTCTGTCCTGACTTCTTTGATGATGACCAGTGATGCAGAAGTGTAAGCAAAGTAAATCCTTTCCTCCCCAACTTGCCTTTTGGTCATAGTGTTTCATCATAGCAATATTAAGCCTAACTAAGGCACGGATCATATCACAATAATACTCTGGGAATGACGCTTTGAAAGAGTAACAGCCATGCCCTGAATTCTCACTGAGCTGGTAGTCTGATCAATCTCAAGGCTACAATATCTCTGCTGGAAAAAGGAAAATAAGAATAGAGCAGATAAAAACAATACAAATCTCACCATTCCAGTTTCAGCTATTTCCTTTAATCAACATTACATAGATTACCATTGTTAATTTCTAGAGTTCTGAAGAAGTTGGCTGTGACTGTTTTTGCTGCTATAGGAAAGGATTTTTGAAGGTTCTTGCTACTCCCACATCACTGATGTCACTTCTCTAGTCACATCTTTTAATAGACTCCACTTTCTCCTTTGGATTGTGTTGGTATTTTTGTTGAAAATCAGTTAGTTGATCATAGATATTTAGATCTCATTGTAGACTTTCTGTTACGTTTCATTGGTTATGTGTTTTCTTTTTGCCACTTTGAAAATCTTGGCTATCTATTCTTATAATTAAATAGATTTCTATTCTCTTTAGGATATTTTAACTAATATTTTTATTTTTGAAGTTGAAATATAATGACATCATATCTACCCTCCCTTTCTTACCTTCAACCTCTCTCATAAACTGCTTTTTGCTCTTCTCTCAAATACATGGCCTTTTTAATTATTGTTACATGTTTGCGTAACAATGACTTATATAAATAAATGAATACAGCCTGATCACTCTATATACTGATATATATATATATATATATATATGTACATATATATATATATATATATATAAAATTTAAGACTGAACACTTGGTATTGGAGAATCAATTGGGGGGAAGGCTCATCCCTATAGAGACTATTTCTCCCAGTTTTAGCTCTCCTTTAGTTACAGAAGCTATCAAGATAACCAGAAGGTGCTGTGCAGACTTCCAAGGGAGGAAAGCATCCACTAGTTCTACCTAGCTGTAACACCAATGACCTCAACAACAGCTAGCACTACACAATAATTTTAAGGGTATAACAGAGGCATAGAAATTCTGGTAGTAACCAACAGCTCTCTAACTGGATTTAAGGCCTGTTCAACAAGAGGGAAAGCATGCCTCATACTGAAAACTTTGCCACCTGTGGCCATATTTTAGATAAAATTGTATCAGGTAGAGGTAGCAGTTTGTCATAATTTTTAGTTGAGATTTTTTTTTAAGTCATAGGTAAATGTTGAGTTTTTAAAATGTATACTTTTATTGGCATGTTTTATATGGTTTATCTAATGTAGTCTATTGATGTGGTAAATTATACCTGCAATAAACAGTATATACTACCATGACAATATTTTATGGAAGATTTTTATATCTACACACACAAATTTGTGTTGATAAACAAATACCGAATACTAGAAAGGGCATAATTACTAGTAAAGATGAATTATTTAGTTTTTCCAATAAAAACTAGAGGATAAACAAGTAGATTGTAAGAGCCAGAGGATAGGATTTCACAGAGGCTGGCAGCATGCACGGGCCTGCACAGGTTCAAGCCAGACAGCATCCTAGCACTAAGGGGGAAAGTGGACATGGACTAAGGCCCTTAACCAAGAAGCTACCTGCAATTGATATCTTCTGGCAAAGGAAAAGTTAGTTTTCTCCAAAGGAGTCTCACTGGGTGTATTAACCACCTTCAAGGTAGGGGGCCCATGCCCAGGAGTAGATGACCAGCATAAAACAAACTCAATGGTATTTCTGTAAGCTTTTTGTCTCATTATGCTTTGTTTGGACATTCATTATCTTATTAGTCTTCTGCTTGATTATTTTGGCTTGTGTTTTACGGGGGATTTTGTCTATGTTTCTTGGTTTTTGTTTTCTAAAGAGAGAGAAATGGCATGATATTGGGTGGGAGGGGAAGTGGGGAAGATCTGGGAGGAGTAGGGGGAAGGGCAAAGCATGATCAGAATAAAACATGTTAAGAAACTTTTTTCAATAAAAACAGTAGAAGTTGAAAGAAAATAAAAACGTGTTTTAAACATCTAAGAGCTATCAGACAGACTCATCATAGTCTCATTCTATGAGAAGGGAAATGTGCATAAGCTACCTTCCAATTTTCAGTTCAACTCCTACTTTAAAATAAGATCTTTTTATTTAAAATCATGGTTTTTTCTCCTTTTCTTTTCAAAGGTAGACATAAATGTATTGAATCAAAACCTGCAGAGGCTCGTGGAAGAAAATAAACACCTGACAGATAAAGTGGCTTCCTTTGAACATCACAGAGCCACTTCTGACTACCATGGGGGTGGGTATAAAAAGGTCAGTCTATATAGGAGGAAATTAAGACAGCTATCCATGATTGTCACAAGTGGTCTGTAATGTACCTGATGTATTAAAATGTGACCTTTTATATACACTATGAGGAAGAAACTTGTATCTTTACTGTTTTTTCCCTCCTTTAAGCATTCAGTAATAAGTGTGATTTCTAAAAGCTGTTTGATAAGGCCGGTGTCTCCAAGTGAAGAGGACTACAGAGATTCTGCTAAGAGACTAATACTTCTCTTGCATATTTGACTATCGGAAGAATGATTAGCGGTGTTTAAGAGCATGCAAAGAAGTTCTTAGATTTCACAGAAAATATCCCAAAGTCCTTTTCAGTCTGAGATTATTTTTTTCCAAAGCCTGTCATCACTTGCTTATTACTTCAACTCTGAAGAATCACAGGGACTAAACCTAAACCGTGTGTGTGTATATGTGTGTGTGTGTGTGTGTGTGTGTGTGTGTGTGTGTGTGTGTGTGCGCGCGCGCGTGCGCGTGTGTGCGTGTGTGTGCGTTTTCATGGCTTTTGAGCTAGGCTGTTAATTTTGCTTATGCCTGACTAACATTTAATCACTCAGACCCCCTCAGTTCCTTAACCTATCAAAATGAGGGTAATAATACCATTGCTATAAAAGGTGTTTGGGGATTAAGTTAATAAATGAAAAGCATGTGGCAGATAGTTTTAACATGTTTTCAATTCTTAGTTTCTGGCTACTGTGGGCAGTGGGAAGTCTGTCAGTGCCTATCAGGGTAATGAGACCCACTAGTTGAGATTCCTGGTATGATCTTAGACCAGTGCTTCTTGTTCCAAGATTAAGTATTCAGTCATGCCCTGTGCTTATTGTCCAACCCACATCTGCCTGTCTAATTTCCTGAACCCACTGCCATGGCCAGTTCTGTGACCTCTGTGGCCTCTCCCTACCAGTGATTTGGTTGATTTACCAGTTTTTGGGTCAGTATTGATTCTTTTCCTGTTCCTCCTACTCTTGTTGCTTAAGGTCTCATGGTGATAACTTTCATCTCAGTTGTGGCTTGAGTTCTGTCTCTACCTAGCAGCCTTTCCAGCAAACCATCAGAGAAGTGTTTTAGTAAAACTTATGAATCTCAGCTATGAAGCTGAGATGTTATGATTTGTTTTTTTTTTTTTCAGTCTTGCACTATCATTAAAACTATTGCTAGTCAATGCTGGCAATGCACTTTTGTTCTTTGGGACTTAAAACTTAAAATTCTTAGTAATGGGTAACTTGTAGTATAACTCTTCACCAGTCTTTAGAGATAATATTTGGAGTATGTTGCATCTATAATGTCACAGACTTGAAACTACACAAACCTGGTTTTAGACCCTGGCTCTAATTGCTGTGACCTAACCTGGCCTGAAGCATTAAGATCTCTTCTGAGGGATTCAGCTGGTATGTTGTATATAACAATCTATTGCCCTGCTGACTAGAAATTGACCTAGTCATGCATTTGCCTTCATTTTCTAACCTTGTGAGAACAATTGTTATGTACCTTTATTCCCTTGATTAATACAAGAGGAAAGTTATGCTGATCTTGCCAGGCTCCCAGGGTTGTAGAATTTAGTATCAAGTACCCATATTGCAAAGCTTAGCATGCAGTGTACATGAATAAACATTGCTATTATTTTTTCCCCACGTTCTCTAGTTTTAGGTTGCCCTAGTTTTTCTATTGCTGTGATAGTGATAAACATATAATAAGTAGTAATAAAATACTGATCAAAGGCAACTTGAGGAGGAAAGGTTTTATTTCATCTTAACAGTTTATTTACACTTCTATCACAAAAGGAAGTTAGGGCAGGAACCCCGAGCCCAAAGCAGAGGCCAAGGAGGAGCAATGCTTACTGACTTGCTCAGTTTGCTTTCTTATACAACACATGATCACATGCTCAGGGGTGGCACTACCCCCAGGGGACTCAGCCCTCCCACATCAGTCATTAGTCAAGAAAATGTGCTATAGACTTGCCTACAGTCAGTCATACGGAAGCATTTTCTCAAGTGAGGTTTTCTCTACATAGATGACCCTATCTTGTGTCAAGATGACAAAAAAACAAACAACAAACAAAACACTAACCAGCACAGAGGCTTATTTCTGCCATTTCAATTTTTAGCAATATAGAACTGAGTCCATTACTACGGGCTCTTACAAAGGAGTCACAGTAAGAAAAGGGCCACCAGTAGGAAGGTCACCATTCCTGAGCCCATACATTTCTGACGAGAAGTACCAAATAAACATACGATTACATGTGCATTAGGATTTTGATGAAGGAAAATTGAATAATTACTTAAATAATTTAATTTTAACCTTTTATTTAAAATAGATTATTTTCTCACAAAATGTATCCTAATTATGGTTTTCCCTTCCTCCCTTCCTTCCAGTTCCTTCCCATGTCCCCTTTCTGTCTTTCATTAGAAAAAAAAAGGCTTCTTAGAGATATTAAAATACAACAAAATAAAATATAATATAAAAAAAAGAATTACCACATCAAAGTTGGACAATACAAACCAGCAGAAGGAAAAAAGAGCCCAAGAGAAGGACAAGAATCAGAGACCTACTTGTTTTTACACTTAGGAATCCCATAAAAACATTAAAGTTGAATTAACAATATATACACAGAGGACCTGGTTCAGGCCCTGTGCATGCTACTTTGGTCTCTGAGTTCCTATGAGCTTTGATCATGTTGACTTAGAGGGCCTTGTTTTCATATTGTCCTCCATCCCCTCTGGTTCTTCTACTCTCTTCCACCTCCTCTTCTGCAGGATTCCCTGACCTCCGAGGGGATGGCTGAGTGTTTTGAGGTCTCTTACTGTCTGTGTGGGTCTCAGCATTTGTTCCCATCTGCTACAGGGGAGGCTTCTAGGGTGCTATCTATCTAGCCTGTGTGTAATGTAATGTCTAAGTCAATTCAATCTGGTGTTTTATTTTCAATCTATATCATGTTTTAAGTACATGTATATTTATAAAGTAACTTTACAGAGTCTAACATCTCACTGGTTTTGTTTATTCTTCAACAGCTTCTGTTAACTTTCCAGCATGTACCCTTAAGGATCTGGGTTTAGTTTCCAAAACTGTAAGAAAATACCTTAGAAAACAGTTTTCTGGGTATTTGTCTCAGCTTTCTGTCAGTCAACATAGAGTTACTTGGGTTCATAATTTGGCTGTTTCGGTCCATGATTAGTTGGTGTTGCTTTTGGGCCTTTGTAAGGCAGAGCATCTTTATGGGGCATGTGTGTCAGAGGAGCCGCTCTCCTCTGAAAAGACAGAGAGGCCCCAGGACCTTGTCCAAAGGGTACATCCCAGTGGACTAACATCCTCCCACCCTGCCTCACTTTGTAAAGGCTCTGCTGCCTCCCAGTGGTACCCATGGCTAGTAACCACACACTAAACAGCCTTTTGGGGCACATTTCAGATCTGAGCTATATGCTACTGTTCATCCTTGCTAACTTACCTATTTAAAATTCCTTCTTGGTTTTCTGTGTACCAAAAACTACATAGCCTAACAGACTAAAAATTCTAATGTTCTAAAAACTTTTGTGACTGAAAAGCTATATGCTGACAGACACTATGATTTTTCTTTGTATGCTGTTTGCCAAGTAATTCTCCAGTTTTTGCTTTGCTCTTGGTTGTTAATAGTCTTTATGCTAACACCAAGGGTATCTAAGCAAACACTAATCACATTTGTGTTCTCCACAAGTCTGAGGTGCTCATGTATTGGAGTAATGTTAATTTATGTAAGTGCAGGGATTATCTAATAACCTGTAAACATGAATTTAAGTACCCATATTTTTATTAATTTTAAAAAATTAAAATATAATTACATAATTCCTTCCCTTCCTTTTCTTCCCCTTCAACCCCTTCCTTGTGTCCTCCCTCAAACCCCTCCCATCCCACCTTAACACCCTCAAATACTCTCAAATGGATGGCTCCTTTTTCTTTATTATTGTTTCATATAATATATATATATATATATATATATGTAAACATAACCCACTGCATTTCTCTCTCTCTCTCTCTCTCTCTGTGTGTGTGTGTGTGTGTGTGTGTGTGTGTGTGTGTGTGTGTGTGTGTATGATTTTAGGGCTGACCACCATGTGTTGAATGACCAATTAGGGGGTTCATTCCTGGCAATTCTCCCATTCTCAGCAATCATTAATTGTCTGCAATTCTTTGTTTAGGGGTAGAGCCCCATGGGATTTCCCCTTCTGAGTTAACATCTCCATTGATATAGTCATTGTTCAGGTCTTATTTAGGCAAATATTGTTGAGGTATTAAGGGTATACTTCCATGTCATTTCTAGGAAACATAATCTTAAAACAGACCACCATGTTCTCTGGCTCTTACATCTTTCTACCCCCCTATTCTGTGATGTTCTCTGAGCCTGAAGGTGTAGGAGTTATGTTGTAGATGTATACATTGTGTCTATAATCCCTAAAATCCACTGGCCTCTACCTATACCCAGTTGTAGTTTCCTGTGACAGTCTCTGTTTACTGTAAAGAGATGCTTCTTTGATGAAGGGTGAGAAAACTACTCTTATGTGTGGCTATAGTGATAAGCTTTAGAATGTGGTTAGGAATCATGCTGGCTTAGTAAAGTGCTGGCAATGCCGCTAAGATCCATGACCTCTCTAGGTCTGTTGGCTGGCTAAGTTTCTGGTACTAGGCATGACTTTCCTCCCATTAGTGGGGTGTGAATCCAAAAGACTATTGTTGGTTACCATCACAATACGAGTGCCACTATTGTGCCTTTGGGGATATCTTGCCATGCTTTTTGTTGTTATAATTCATAGGCACCACCTATTGCTTCCCTTTGTTGGCAGTTTACATAGTACTTTTTGGTACTTTCATAAAGTACCCAAAGATTCAGCTCAAATCTTTCCAGTTGTATGCCTGGAGTATGTGGTGTCTTCAGCAATAGGTACTTACCTTCAACTTCTGAGACATGGTTTCTTTAAGCTGTGATAACTAAAGGCTGTTCTTCTGCCAGAGGTATGGTTATTGTTCCTAAAAAGAAAACAACAAAACAAAACAAAACAAAAAAAAACCTGCATGGTTCTCTTCAGACAGCTTACAATCACTATTTCAACTCACCAGCTCTGGGTTGGCACCTACCTACAAAGGGTTAACTAACAAATCAGAAACAGAAAAAGGGATGCAGTACAAAGGACAACATACTCTGGAACTCTTAAGACTTTGTATCTTCGTTAGCAGGCTCTGGATATGCTACCTGTTAGCAAAATGGTGTCTTGTCTAGGGGAGGTCTTCAAGGCAGAGGAAGTTGCAAGTAAATGTGAAAGTATTTCTGTAGAAATAGCAAGGGTATTAATACCTGTTTTAAAAGGGAAATGCTTATCACTTTGTCAAAGATAATGATATGTCTGCTTGCTTTATCAGTTTGCTGAGCAGAAAGTGGAGAAAGCCTTGGAAAAAATTACTGAGAGTAAAAATAAACTGGCCTATGAAAAGGGGAAACTTCAGGTATGAGATTTATCTTCAGATTTTCATCTGATGTTTAAAATAGTAATTGTTGGGTTAAGTATTGTTGAACTTAAGAAAACATAGCTCTGTTGTCTACTAACTCGGTAACCTCTGAACCTCCCTAATTTACTTCATTATCATCCAAGTGACTTCTGCTCATAGACCAATAGTCTAATGAGAAGCCACAACTGATTCCGTGACTGTCTAAAGCCTTAGTACGACCATTTTATGCATGGCCATTCTGTGAGAAGATGGAGAACCTAGGTGTTGTGGGTCTGGTAAATTTGTTTGTAGCACACTCTTTGAAAACAATGGAAAACTGATCTTGCAAGGCCACAAGTTTGAGTCTGTTGTACTGAGTACTATGATGAGATGTGAACTAATGTGAAGAACTACGCTTTCTTTTGCCCCCCATGGTACCTACACAGCAGGAAGCTTGCCACTGATGTTACTGAGCCTGACTTAGAACAATCCCATTGGAAACACTAATGTGAGCTCTAAGTCTTAGCTACACATTAGAATCAGATGGGATTTTTTAAAAAAGCCCAGCAGTAGGAAATGTATATGTACCATTCCTTTTTAAATATATCTAATTACAAAAAGTAGATTGGAGGGCCCATAAGAGAATGATATGTGATAAGTAAAATAACTAAATAAATAAATATAGAATTTAGGGTAGTAGACAGGTTCATATTCACAGAAAGATCTTTCAAGTTTTCTGCATGCTTAATTTTTTTTTTCATAATACATAAGAAGAAAAATTCTCTGACTGTAATCCCAACAAAAGCAATTAAACCAGAATTTAAGTCCTAGACCTAATACTTTGTAAAGCTCCCCAGTTGAAGCCGGGCATTATGGAGTACACCTCCAATCCAAGCACTCAAGGGGAAGAGGTAGGAGAATGATGAGATCACCCTGAGCTATAAGATCCTTTCTCAACAATAATTAAAGATGTCATGGATGAGGACAGCTGGACTAAACAGTGTGAAATGAGGCCCGCTTAGGCTTAGGACTGGACACCTGACATGTTGAGTAATCTCACTATAGGCTTGCCAAACACTGACATTCACCCTCCCCTCATATTGAAGTTAGCAGACAAAATGAAGCACAGAGCTGGAAGGAAACAAACTGAAAGGTTGTTGATATGACTTAGGCTTATGGAATGGCCCTGGTTTTAGTTCTCAGTGTCACAAACCAAATGGAATAAAAAACTTGGCTATTTCTAACTCTAAAGCTCATTTCAAGTTAAAAATGAACTACCACTATAGATATGTCCTAATTTATTTCAATTTTACAATGTATACTAAAAAATCTAGGAAATACAATGAATAGATATTTATGTTATAGTATAAACAGGTTAAAAGAGGGCTCTTTTAATTTTTTTTTTTGGCTGTCTCAATTTATATAGCTTAGGTAGGCATATGTGATATATCTAGTATATATGTATTATATATAAAGTAAATACCAATTATATGTCATATATATTATGTAGTATATATTCAGACCAATTGAAATAGTATGAGTATGTGATCATGGCCTAATATCCTGATATCCCCAAGATTTGCTAATAAGCTGATCATAGAATGGTTTTAAGGCTCACAAAATCACCAGACCTAAGGGAGCAGTGTTTATTTGCTTCTGGCCAGTACTTCTGTATTCTTTCCAATTTTAAATATCCTGAGTAAGAATCTCTACCAAGTGAGAAACTCAAAAGATGAAGTAACTTTGAGGACAGTATGTTTATTGTTTCTCCATGGCTACAATACAGCAAGTCCTAAGGGGGAAGTATAAAATTATTTTTATCCCATAAAATAGTAATTTGATTTAAGAATTCACAGTAATCCTTCTGGATTTTCCTTAGGCCGTAGAAATCAGAAGTGTTGTCTTGGCATGTTTACACAGCTATTGCCTGCTTGTAGCAGCAAGTTAAGACCGAATTGTTTTGCAAGATTAGGAAAGTGTAGGATTTTTTTTTTTCAAATTTTAAGTGTCCTCTAACTTTTTTTTTAAAATTTATGACATCATCTTCCCCTTGGAGATTAGGCTTACTCATTATTGTTCTATTTTCCTTATAGATAAAAGTTAAACAGCTAGAAGAACAGCTACATTCATTTACTGAAACCAAGTTGCAGAATGACCATCTGCAGAAACTGAACAAGACTTTAGAGGTCAAACATGCTCAGGTATGATGTCTGCAGAAAGTGGGTTGCTATCAGGTGCTGTTCCAGTGCTGCAGTTTTTAAGGCATTGCTTGGTGCCTTTCTCCCCCACCTCCCCAAAGAATCCTAGAAAGGTGAATGTTTTCTCTTGATTCAGTTTAAGCTTCTGATGAGACAGAAAGGGTGATTCATAAAGATGTCTTTCACAAAATTAGTCTGTTCAACATGCTTTGTGTTTATGAATATAGCATTCATTGAAATTTGTTGCAGAATAGGAAGCTATGACTTTCAGAAGAAAATACGTTGTTCCATGACCACTCACAGAAGCATTGCTGTGAAATAAGTTCATGTGTTCTATAAGCTCATAGCTTTTTTTTATTTCAAACCTTAACTTTTTTTTTTTTTTTTTTTTTTTTTTTTTTTGTCAAATTCACATGAGGAACAAGTATCTCTGTTTTTTTGAATTGTAGGCAAACTCAGAACTGAGTGTCAACAAGGCATATCTGCAACAGACAGAAGCTCACCTGAAAGAGGTATTGTTAGTGGAGGGGCTTACTTGTCAGCACGGTGCCTGTAAAAGCTGACACCTGTTGTAGGTCACATAACATTTCAATAAGAGTAAAGTTAAGCAAGCAAAATATAGGAAGTGCTTAGTAAAGAACTTAATCCATGAACATTTTACTTAAAGTAATTCAGTTCAGTGATTACAAGTCTACAAAATATATGTAAATTAGATCATTGTAAAAATCTTTAACTCTTAGTATACCTGGAAAGCTCTGTTTCTATTTCGTGTGTGTACATATACTCCAAATAACCATAGTACTAGAATGTCTTCAAATGGAATCCCCACGGGGTTCTAACCAACTGACTCTACTGATGTATGCTGAGGTCACAAAGTTATAAAGAGGCCCTCATTAGACTCTCCTGAGGAAGCTCAGGCTACGGCCTGTTTCTTCACTGGGTCCTAGACAACGTTGTGATCTTTTCATTCTTGCTGCCAAGGAATACATTTTCCAGCTTCTTCTGGAACATTCTGCCATTTATCTTACTAAAGCAGATACTCCTTAAAACATAAGTCTTAGGTTTACTTGATTCTGGTACCTGTAGCTGGTGATGCCTCCAAGAAGAAGGAAATCTCCAGAGAGGCTCATGGCTTCTAAACCCTTTGAGAGCTCGAGGTTTTATGTTAGTAATGTTAAGGAAAGAGCTCAAACAGTTGCCTTGCCCAATGTTGTTCCGAATTCAGCACGCCGAGTGAGCTTTGCACCTACCTTGCCTTCTATGAGAATGTCTCAGGAGATTGGAGACTCCAGAATCTCTCTAAAGACTCTTTTAAATGCTATTAAAACCATGGAGGGAAAGCTGGAAGGCAAAATAGACATTCTTGCCTCAAGACCCTTCCTAAATGAGGACTCAACTTTTCTTAAACACGATTCGGTAAGTAATAAACATACACTGAATCTTAGGGAAATTTCAGGCTTACTTAATTTAGAATGAGGAACAATCTAGGAACCTGTTTGGCTAGAGTAACAGGGAAATTTGATATTTCACCAATAATAAAAATTGGCTGCCACAGAATTTTGTTTGGGGGATAGGAAAGTTGTTTTAATAACAACTGACTTTTCTAAATCAAACTTTGATATTTTAAAATTCAAAAATTATGCATAATCATGAAATTTGGATTGAAATGCTTGGCTAAAGATTGCTGTTAAGATAGAGATATATTAGTAAGTCCCAATATATTGAACATTTGGAAAAATGTGCTAGAAAGAACATCAACCTTTGTTTGATATTTAAAACAATAACTACCATACCCTAGTTTCCAAAGGAGATATATTTCTATATTCTCAGTAAATATTTTTACTAGTGGAATAGATAAATACAAATAAAACCAGAATGAAGTAGTGGGTTAAGGGTGTATGCAAATGCCAGAGGTTATCAGTTTGTACACTTTATGCAACTTGCTTTATGTCACTTACACTTTAGAAAAGCATTGTAGAAAGAATTATATGAATTATTACAATAAAAGTGTTGCCGTAGGAAGATGTTTGCCATTTTTTAAAGGAAAGAAGCAGCAAGGCAATGGATGAGTGTATGTCAAGAAATGGCTGGGATTGGAGAGAGCAAATATAAAAAAGGGCGTTAATACTTGAGGAAGAGCTCTGCAGGCTGCTTGTCCAGGGCACACAGATGCTCTCATGGGATCAAACCACCCAGAACTCTGTATGCACCACCCCACACACATAAATGATGGTTGAAAAAGAAACGGGTTGAGTTCTGTAACCTGGGTGGTAATCATGTGACACTTTACTGTGGTAAACAGGGGGACATTCTTTGTACTATTTTGTAACATTCTGAGAACCTACAGTTATTTTGAGATAAAGTTTTAGAAAGAGTAGGATGTAAAATTGTATGTGTATCTGAAACTATTATGCAGATCTATGTGTATGTTTTTTGGATTTTATTGTATCAATTATCCATTTGTTTTCATTTTATCTTCTGCCTTATCCTTTCTTCTTCCACCTTCCCACTTTTAGACCCCTTCCTTCCTACTATTATTTATACATTAATTTTACATGTATTTAAGTTTAGATTTCACATATAACAATAAGTATATTTTCCTCTGTGGCTTATTTCATTTAATATGATGATATTCACTCCCATCTGTTCAATGACAAATAGCACAATTCCATTCTTTATTGCTGAGTAAAAGTGCATGTGCATATGCATACACACACACACACTCTCTCACACACACACATATATGCATATCACATTTCCTTACCCTTTCATCTATTATGGGATGTGGGCTGGTTCCACATCTTTGCTAATTTGAATACTGCTTCAGTATTGTGGATGTGTAGATGTCTCTGTGGTTTGCTTAAGATTCCTTCATATATACACTCAGGGGTGTTATAAAGTATTATTTTAACTGGGCAAAGATGTGTTACATTTGTTTATGCTGTGAAATAATTTAACTATGTGAAGGTGTGTTATATTTGTTTATGCTGCCTTTGTTAATGATATAAAGATGTGTTACGTTTGTGCTGAATTTGTTAACTATGTAAAGATGTATTGCTGTTTCACTTTGCCTACCTAAGATACCTGATTGGTCTAATAAAGAGGCTGAACAGCCAATAGCTATTCAAAGAAAGAATAGGTAAGGCTGGTGAGTATAGAGGATAAGTTGGAAAAGAAATCCAGGCTTCTCGAGATGGGAGGAGGAGACAATGAGGGAGAAAGTTGGGACATTCCAGTCAGACATGAGGCAGCAGGAATGTGAGATACACAGAAAGAAAGGTAAAAATCGATGTGGCAAAATGTAGATGAAGAAAGACAGGTTAAGTTATAAGAACTGGGAAGAAATGAGCCCAAGCTAAGGCCGAGCATTCATAACTAAGAATAAGTCTCTGTGCCATGATTTGGGAGCTGGTTGGTGGCCCAAAAGAAAAAGGCTGCCACACAGGAGTGGTAGAGCAGATTTTAATTTTTTCAGAACATCCATGCTGCTGTCCATTGTGGGTACACTAGCAGTATGGAAGGGTTCCATGTTGCTGCATTCTTGCCCAGTGCTTGCTGCCGTTTTCTCTTGGTGTGGATGGCCATTCCGACTGGGCTTAGATACAGGTTTAAGGAAGCTTCAGCTTGCCTTTCTCTGATGACTGAGGGTGTTTTACACACTTACTGCCTTTTGAGTTGATCTCGGTACAGATGGAGTGGTTTGGATCTACTTTAATTCTTCAGCATGTGTAATAATGCTTTCCTAGCTTCATTGGTTGAAGACTGTATTTTCATCAATGTATGTTTCTGTCACCTTTGTCAAAAATCAGGTGATTACTTGTGTTAATTTCTTGGTCCTCTGTTTTATTTCATTGATCTGTATCTGTTTTTGTGACACCAGCATGCAACTTATTGCATGCTGTTTTTGTGACACCAGCATGCAATTATGTAGTATAATTTGAAAGAGGTATTGAGATACCTCCAGATATCTTTTTATTTTTTTCATTTTTTTTCATTTTTTCATTATTTTATTTTTTGCTGTCTGGAATCTCAATGAATTCTATATTGTGTTTTCTAATTCAGTGGAAAATGCCTTGGAATTTTGATGGATATCATGGGAATCTATAGATTGCTTTTGATTAGGTGGCTGTTTTTATATTATTGATCTGTGAGCATGGGCAACTTTTCTATCTTCTAGTGTTTTTTTCAAGTTCTTTTTTTTTTTTAATGTCACCTTTTTATTTTATTGATTTATTGACTGGCCTATGTAGACCAGACTGGTCTTGAACTCAGAGATCTGCTAGCCTCTGTGTGCTAGGCGTGGACCATTGCATCCAGCTGAGTTTCTTTCTTTAGTTTGTTTTCATTTTTGAAGTCTTTTTTTCTTGGTTACATTTATTTCTTAGATATTATTTTTAAGCAATTCTAAATAGGAATTTTTTCCCTAGTTTTTTCTCAGGGTGTGTGTTCATTATTGACACATAGGAAAATCAGTGGTTTTTATATGTTGATTCTGCGTCCAGGTATTATGGACACAGATGTATATGGGGCTGTGAGATCTGAAGAGTTTTCTGGTAGGATCTCTGTGGTCTTTAGGTTAGAGGTCCTTTATTAGTTTCTCATTGCTATGAGGAAGCAGCTGCTAAAATGAAAGTTCTATTTTGGTGCAGAGGCTGAGGGGGGAGTCTATTCTGGTAGAGAAGGGATGGCTGAGTCCCCACAGCAGGGGGACACAGCTAGGAGTCTTGGGAGACCAAGAAGCAGAGAGCTGATGATACTGGTCCATTTTCCTTTTTCATTCAGTCTTGCTCCCCAGCCCTTAGGATGGTGCTCTTCACATTCAGGGAATGTGAACCCTCACAGACATGCTGAGAGTTATGTCTAATAAGTGATGTCTAATAATGTGTGTGTGTGTGTGTGTGTGTGTGCGCGCTGTGCGCGCGCGCGCTCACACTGGCGCACACGTGTGAGTGCATGTGCACATGTTTGTATACATGTACATATAGAGACCAGAGATTGATGTGTTATACCTTTCTTAATCTTTTCCCATCATAGTTTTTGAGACAGAATTTCATAGACCAAGAGTTCATGGATAGGCAAGGTAGCCAGGCTAAGCCCAAGGGACTCTCTAGTCTCTGCCTACCCAGCCTTGGGATTTACAGGTACATGCTGCTGCACCCCAGTTGTATGTAGGTGTTTTGGATCAAACTATGCTGTCTCCCCAACCCCATAACTAAATTCAGTCAAGTTAAAAATGAAGGTTAATTGTGTCATAGGATTGATCATATTGTCTGTAAGCAGGGATTATTTGACTGCTTTCTTTCCTATTTGTGTCTCTTTTATTTTCTTCTCTTGATTATTAATTACTCTAGCTAAAACTTCAAGCACTGTCTTAAATAAGAATGGAATGTGTTCACCTTTATGCCATTCCTATTTTTCAAGAAATTATCCCATTTCCCTCATTTAATGTAATATTCATAATATCATTACAAACTTATATGTTATATTGACATATATTCTTTCTTTTTTAATG